CCCGTTTATTCCGTTGCTGTTCTATGGAGTCAACTTTGGTGCCATGCGGTCTATCTGCTGGCAGCTTGTCTTGCGCTGTAGAGCTTCTGAAGAGAGCATCCAGTTTGGACTGTATAGCACATGAACTTTCTGCTTGGTCTCTGCTCATTGTGTCCTATTGTTGCTTCATTTCCTGCATGTCCTTTTTGATATGTAACTCGCGCTCTTTGTCGGTAGTCTCTACTTTTTCTGACATCTGCTGTAACTTTTCTTCTGTTGCCCTTGCCAGGTTGAAGCAATTGTCCAGGTTAACATTTTTATTGTATCGTTTCTGATTTTTTAGCATTTGTCGATCTTCCTCGCTGCATTTCAAATTTTGTCGATTTGTTCCAACTTTGCCATCAAGTCGCCTAGCTCAATAGAAACTGTTTTTTCATGATAAACTGTTGCCCTACTTTTGATCTGCTCATCGTCTTTTTTGGCCTCTGTTGTTATTGCGGAAACTGTTCCAAATGTTTTGCTTTTCTCGGTCGATTGTACCACCTCCTCCTTCTCTCTTGGTTTCATTCCAACCATCGCTGCAATCTTCTCTGTGAACGACGTTCTTTTTGCTTGAGAATCTTCTTTTATGGTCGTGTTACTCGTTGTGTCGTCTACAGTATTAATTGGTGAAAACTCAATCGTCTTCTTCTCTTGTTCTTCCACATTTGGCATTGGTGTTGATTCCGTTGTTTCCCTTTGCACCTCGTCAACACTCTGACCTGGTGTCTCAAGATCAATTTCTACAGTTGGTCCTTCCACAGCGCTTTCTTTCGTCTTGTGTTCTTTCGGGCTTCTTGTGTTGACCATGTTCACTGAAAAGTTCTTTCTCATTACTTTCGGTTCCGACAATGTTGTTCTTCGTTGCGACGAGTTGTAATTTTTCTTTGATTCTTGCGCTCTTTCATCTGCTATTGGTACCCTACTTCGCCTCATGATTTTTATTTACGTTTTTTTTATGTACAATATTAATATTTACAAGTCCTATATTAACAAAATAAAAATTTTAAAATGTTCCCAATTCTCTTAATTAAAAAAATCATTCGAGTCTTAATCTTTATAGTGTGGACTTGAGCTGTTTTTGTTCGTTCTTACAGGTTCCTGGTGCTTTTACTCAAGAGTTGGTACATCTCGCACTGTCCCATGACCTCTTTGTTGTAGTATTGGGACACTTCACACTGTCCCAAGACCTTTCGTTCAAGTGTTGGGACACTTCACACTGTCCCAAGACCCTTTGTCCTAGTGTTGGTATACTTCACAGTGTCCCAGGACCTCGTGTTGGGACACTTCGTACCGTCCCAAGACCTTATACTCAAGTGTGGGGACACATCGCACTGTTCCGAGACCTTTCTCTCACGGTGGGACACATCGCACTGTCCCAAGACCCTTCGTCCTAGTGTTGGGACACTTCACACTGTCCCAAGACCTAGTGTTGGGACACCTCGCACTGTCCCAAGACCTTATATTCAAGTGTTGGGACACCTCGCACTGTCTCAAAACCTTTCGTCCCAGTGTTGCAACACTTCACACTGTCCCAAGACCTATTGTTGGGACACCTCGCACCTCGCAAGACCTTATACTCAAGTGTTGGGACACTTCGCACTGTCTTAAGACCACCCACTCAAGCGTTGGGACACTTCGCACTGTCTCAAGACCCTTCGTCCTAGTGTGACCCTCGCACTGTCACAGGACCTTATACTCATGTGTTGGGACACCTCGGACTGTCTCAAGACCGCCCACTCAAGCGTTGGGACACTTCGCACTGTCCCAAGACCTCATGCTCAAGTGTTGGGACACTTCCCACTGTCCCAAGACCACCCACTCGAGCGTTGGGACACTTCGCGCTGTCCTATGGCCTAGTGTTGGGACACCTCGTACTGTCCCAAGACCTCCCGCGTAAGTGTGGGGACAGTTCGCACTGTCCCAAGACCCCTCACTCCAGCGGTGGGACTTCGCACTGTCCCAAGACTGCCTGCTCAAGTGTTTAGACCCTTCGTACTGTCCCTAGATTTTTTCTTTCCAGTGTTGGGACAGTCGGATCTCTTCTTCATCGGTGTTGGGACACTTAGATCACTATCCCCGGTACCACCACTCGAGCCCTACTGTTAAAAGTTTCCTAAAACCCAATCTTACTGACCAAAAGTTTTTACCTATTAGCCCTCCTATAAATACCGATGCCAGTCGAAATACGACTTGTTAGCAAGTGTCTGGTGATCACCTGTTTTTCAAAAACCGATAAAATTAATTCCAAAAACGAAAAAATTTAAGCGAGTAAAATGATTAAAAAAAACAGAAAGATGAACCTGCCTAAAATTCAAAGGTGACCAATGTCGTCCTTTCGTAAAAAAATATGTCTGGTACCTGATTGTCACGCGTTTTCCTCTCCCCTACTAACGATCTTATGGGGTATTGTCCTTTCGGGTTTCAAAAACTGTCTAGGTCCGATCCCCCCACCCGATCCTACCTGGTTACCTAACTTAATTCAATCTTAAATTTGGATATCCTCGCGTTGCAACTCTCTTTTTGGGTCTAGAGAGGTATCTTCCTAGACTCTGGTCGTACTAACGTAACTAAATCGACGATATCGGTTATATAGTTACTATAATGTATCCCCCCTTTTTACAATTTGCAACCGCCAACCTCTAACTTAACCAGCCCCCCTTCTAACCTCCCCCCTATTTAGCCCCCTCCTAAGCCGAAATTTACCTTGAGCGCGATGGGTGCTAATCCTCTTGAGAGAAAACCGTAGAACCTGTTTCCAAGCTCTGCTCAAGTAAAAACGTATCCTCAAAACAGTGGGTATCCGCTTATCCAATTTTACACTTATCTCCTGTAATGTAATGTGGATTTTAACGATACCCGATTGACCAAACAGAAAACCCCTGTGTGTCCTATTCTATTTGTTCGGATTCCGTGCTGGTTGTCTCCCTGGCGTGTCCAGCACCACTTTCCAGCACCACTTTCCCACTTGGCTGGGACCTGTTCCAGTCAAGTCTCCTAGTGGTCCGTTGATCGACCAAACAGAACACCCCTGTGAGCCCTTCTCTGTTTGTTCTTGTCCGTGCTGCATGTCGCCCGGCGTTTCCAGCAATTCTCGGGTCCCCTTCTTGAGAACCGGTTTCCCACTTGGCTGATAACCTGTTCCAGTTAGGTCTCCTAGTGGTCCGGTGAAGTTGCAAGCTATCTGAAAACCCTTCACAACGCCCCATAACTGGGCACCTGTAGAAAGTTGCTGATTTGATCGAGACGATCGGTCTTATTCAAAAAAAACAGTATGGGCATAATAATTCAATTAATATAAAGGTTTGATCCACCCAATCTGGAAGTCAAACCACTGTCCTTTTTATGTTTTAATGGTTTTTTGCTGCTTTTTCTATTCTTTTTTGGTTTTTTGTTTTGCTTTTTGTCTTTTACTCGTTTTTTGTCCCCCTAGTTGCCCCCTATTACTCGGCTAGCGAGGCCTCGTTCGGAGAGCGTATCAGGAAATTTTCTCGAGATTTCTTAAAAAGCTATCACGGTACATCTGGAAGGTTTACACGTTCCTGCTGAACCGTACCACCGGTACTCTAGAATGGGCATGTAGCCCGGAGCTTTGTCAAGTGGGTTTGATCCCGTAGTCTTGATGTCGTAAAAACACCCAGGAGCGCCAAAAAAACACTATATAACAGTCGCTTACTTAAGTCACATATGAGGTTAAAGAAAAATAAGCCCTATAACCATTCGCTCAAGAGTCAGGGACACTATCTCTTGTGTTTTTCTACCTCAAACGGTCGGAGCCAATTCGGTTCACTTGCGACATGAGACTAAAACCTTTGTTACAGCTTAGAGGCCACTACAAAAATACCCCCCCATCTAGAAAATAAGAACGTCCCCATACTTCGGTCTCAAAATACCTAAAACACGCGAACGCCGTTAAAAACAGGTTCGGAATAATCCGTATAGCTACTTTTTATTAGACAGTGGAACTTTGATCCATTTCAGATGGATCAACCTATATCTCGACTCACCTCAACATAACAGTATAAAACACACCCAAGAAATTTAAATTGGGTACTCACATAGCGGCACACTAGAATTTGGGTAACTAAATTAACAAGTAACTCCAGAATAACTAGGGAATCAAGTTTGACTCGAGGAGCTTTAAATTGACAAGTCCTAGCTTGAGAAATGAGTTTTGACTTGAGAAATAAGTTTTTGTGGCTGGACCATTGGGAGATTTCGGTTGTTCACCTTTCCACCGAAGATTCACTCCGGTCCACTTCTAATCTGTTTCTTCGTTGTTCGCAATCGCTCTGCCTTCTGTTTCGAACAAGATAGCTCTACTCTCGTGTATTTCTAAGTCTAGAAATTGCGAATAGCAATTTCTCGCTGCTTTTTTCGATCATTTTCCCGCGATTGTAAATCGGTTCTTCTGATTTTATTATTTTTTGTATTTTCAGTTTCGCGAGAAACTTGAGCATGACATGTCCAATTCGAATTTTTGAAAAATTTCATTTCACCCCAAAATCATGTTTCTTGTGTTGCTCAAGGTCAAACTTCCAAATATGACCGACTGGCACAGACCCAGGCCAAGTGACATATGGTAAAGTATGTTGGAAAGAATTTAGGTTCATCTAATATACGTACAATTTTGCTAATACTTATTATAAACTACACTAAAATTGTACCCTGCCTGTTTTCGTGTCATTTGTTTATTTGTAGCACACTTACGGGAAATTCGGGAGTTTTATTTGAATTGTGAACTCCTGTCAAAATTCTCGACTTGCAAAGATCTCTATTATATTTCCGATTGGGCTTGAAAGCCTTTCACCCGGAAGTCTGGCTACAAAATTTTTTTTCGTCATAATTAGTGTGTCAAAGGCGTACTGTAGTTAAAATGAGAGAAAATCATAACTGATAAATTTTGGACAGTATTTGTTTTCATTTTTGTAAGGGATTATTGGCATTTATGTAACTCAATTATGTTTTTGTTTTCAAGATGTTTGATTTTCGATTGCTGCAAGAAGGCTACTGCATCGAAACCGCTAATCAAATTAATGTATTCAAAGCTTCGTGCTCCGTGTCCCTTTTGACAAAACCTGATATGACCATCCTGATTGACACGGGAAGCCCCTGGGATGCCAACCACATTTTGAAAAGTCTGAATGAAATCAACTTTCATCCTAATGATATCAACTATGTTGTATGTACTCATGGACATCTTGATCACGTGGGATTACTCTCCCATTTCACAAATTCCAAAATAATACTAGGAGCCGATATGGGTATGGCTACGAACTGCTATTCAGATGATTATTCAGTTAAAACAACAGATTTTAAGGCTAGTTAACATTATGTTTTTTAACGCTGCCTCTTATTTGGTGCATTAATTACATTTGCGATGTGCAAGGGTATTGCAATAATAATAATAATAATAATAATAATAATAATAATAATAACAAAGGATTTAGGAATATAATCCAAGGTTTCGCATAAAACCCAGTCATTGCATTGTTCAAAGTTTAGTTTTCAGTTATAAGTGTAAGTTTCTTCAGGTCTCTACAGTTGTTGCATTCGCATAAAATGCGCCAAGTGCATGTATCTGATTCGTTGTAGCGAGTTTTGAAAAATCGGGTAATAGACTTTGCCCCCCTAAATAAATTTGTTCACAGAAAGTTCATTTTTGTAGGCATGGTAAATTTCTCAAAAACTTAAATAATACTATCTTAATTTAGGCAGTAAATAAGTGTTGTCGGTTTTCTGACAGCAATGATTTTTACTAATAATTTTTTTTTTAAAACGTTGAATTTTTTAAACCCGGTAGTTTTTTTTTAATCAGTTTCATAGCTGTTAAAGCCTAGCGTTCGTTTTTTCAATAGCTATAACAATAACAGTTTAAATTTTTGGAGGATGTTTTTGCTTAGATATGCGATGATGCTTTTATAACATTTACTCCTGGTCACACCAACGAAGACATTTCTCTAATAGCTGAAGTTAATTCGTCCTCTTTATCGTCCATTCTGCATACTTCAACTCAATCTAAGCCTTTTGTTACTGTTGCTTTTGCTGGCGATCTTTTTGAAAATAGTGACGACGAGAATTCATGGAGATCTCTATCTTCTAACACTGATCTACAAGAATATCATCGAACGAGAATTCAAAGTTTAGCCGAAGTTATTGTGCCAGGACATGGGGGCCCTTTTGTCTCAAAATTATTTATGCAGCTAAATTAGTTTTGTTAGAATTATCAGAATTTTTTGCAAGCAATCCATTCATTTTGCTATCCTAAGAGCAGATTGACAGCTCAGAATATTTACGGTCGTGCCCACTTTAACTATTAGTGAGTTTAGTAAAAACAGTACTGTATAAATCATCAGTTCCGAAGTTCTATGGAGAAAATTGTAAAACGCTTTATAATTACTTATAAGTCGATGAACGTAGTGAAGACTCTTACATAGGATGCGATGATTTGTTCACGCTCAATTTTTTTGCGGTTTGAATTTTGATTTCATTTTAAGTTCAATTCTTTGCCTTTAATAGAAAAGGAAGGTAAACTCCACTATCGATCAGCAAAAGTGTTATGGTCACGAAAAACGTGATTAACTTCTAATTTCGAAAGTGGAATGTAATTTTCACATTTCGCAGCCAAATAAAAAAATTTATTTATTGATCCACTTTACTCAAATTAAGTTGATTTTATCACAAAAGTGTTAATCATAAATCGTGCTAGAATTTCATAGAGCTTTTAGGTTATCTATTTTTTTTCTTTGAAATTCGAAAGTTGAGATTTTCTCTAAAAACAAGTCAGTATTTTTTGATTTTTCCAACTGTCTGTTGGCTATGTTTGTCATTTTTGGACGGCTTTTTTTCAGCTTGTCGCCAGAGAGTTTTCTTAAATTCCAAATTTTTTCTTTCAACTGGAGTAACTCACAATAAATCGTAATTATCATTATTGAGTAATGTAGAAATTTTCACTTTGAAATATTCTTGACATTCTAAGCATATTTTTCATGTATCGGAAGTGTTTCAAAGCTTCGCTTTATAGCTTCTATGTCATTTCTTGTGCTTTTTTTTGGATATTACGAACGATTTGATTTTAAGCTCCGATTAGATAATCCTAAGTTAGATAATGTAAAAATCCTTCAAAAATTAATTTGAAAATTAGTGAATTAATTTTTTATTCACAATCCCCGCTAAAAATTTTTGGGTTTCAGCTAGGATGAATACTTCATTAAGTGATTTACTAGAAACTATTGTTCGATTTTTTCCAAGGTGCTGTAGTTTACAATTTGTCTTTCAAAAACTGTTTGACATTTGTAACTGACCTTACAATTTTGTTTGATCAAATCTTCGAGCTTAATGGAAGAAGTCGAAGTGTATATGAAAAGCTTCTTCAAAGGGCGCGGACAAATCCACATAGGCGTTCACGGAGCCACAACGCTATGCAGTTAAACTAAGTTTGTGCTCAATTTTCGGGATGGGGTTTTATCAAACTTCGAACTTTTTTCAAAATTTCCCAAAAATTATAAAAACCTTTTGTTAGTCATAGTTTTTTTGCTATCTATAATTTCAGTGGCTGAGTTTTAGATAGTAGCAGGTTTTTATGTTAAAGAACCAAAAAAAAGCTGCTTACGGCAACCTCTCAATCTAAAGTAAACGTGCTGTGGTGCTTTCGAAAAGATTTTTTCATGGCATGAATTTAGAAAAAGAGCGGCGAATTCAGGAAAAATTAATTGATGTTGACAAATATGAGCAAAGTATAATAAAATTTGACTTCGATAATATGAGAAAGAAACCAAATGAGACAATTTAAATTTGTTTTATTCAACAACCTTTAAAGGTTTTTAAAAAGGTCAACAGCCTCAAATTATCTCGGTATTCATTGACGGATACCGAGATAATAATTTGAAATAATAGCGCGTGACTTGAAGTCTTGGAGAAACAGCGCCCTGATTTTCTAAGTTCCAGTTTTTTTTTAAATATGTTGAGCTTCCGGTCCGTTTTTTTAGTTAAAAGTTTTACAGCTGTTTCCAACAGTTCAAGTTTTGTGCCATCAGTTCTCTCCACGCATTTTTGCTGCTGCCATACTTGCAAATTGAAGCATTGACCTGCAAAAGTTCGAATTGTGGCTGAGCGAATTTTCGTGTGGTTGAGAGTCGTGTTAAAAGAATTTGCCAACTGTTCCCACTTGTATCGTCATGGGGTAGGGGTACAATCATTTGAGGACTTTCAAGTAGAAAGTGACCCATTTTCTCAGAATTATTTACATACGAGAAACAATAATTCTGCCCGTAGAACTAAAAAAAAGCTGCTGTTATCAATAACAAATTGGCGAAATTTTTTGTATTAAAGAAGTAGGACGATGATGCTTACCGGATAACGCAGTTTGAGGAAGAGTTTACCTTCTTGAACTAGACAAACATCTATGATGGATCTTGGATTCATAGTGAAAGATCCCATCGAAGGGTGGTTGCTCCTTGTAACGCTGGTCTTATCGCCTAAATCCAATAAAGAATAGTCTTCTCTGTGACCTATTTCACTTGTCATTGAGCTGCCTTTCAAGATAAAATCAAAATTTGATTTTTTTTCTAAAATCTTTTTTTCTCTCCCGATTAAGATGTACTATTTCATCTGAAATTTTATAATGCCTTACTGAAGTAATTTGTAACTGTAAGCGATTGTGTAGAATTTATATTTGGTCTAGCTGCATTTTTCAAAGGCAAATGACTATTAGAAAAGGAAGAAACTTGGTTTGTTAATCCAAGTGTTTTAGCTTTTTATTCGAATTTAATGAGAGTTGTTTTTCATACCGCTGCTCATGAAGAGGAATTGGAGCTGTTCTGTTATAGCAATTGAGTAGGTAAATATCAGGATACCCAGCACAAAGAAAACAACGATCAAAAATTTCACCAGTAATGTTTCGTGTTTATTGACATCTTCTTTAAGTGATAGATTTGATTCTATTTTGCCGTGCAATTTCATGTCCAGTATTGACATATAATCTTCATGTCTTCGATAGGTCTGAGGCTCCACTTTTGAAGTATCGGTCTTCTCTTTTTCTGGCAAGCAATCTAAAACAAAATGTTGAATTTAAATTTTTGAATTGGCTTATTTTTAATAATCTCTTTACACTTGCGGGCTTGCGAGCGTATTTTATTAGTACAAACCTTCTTTCTTTGTAAGCTAACTCGCCAATAAAAGTATTAATAAACAGTGGTCACTTGAAATTTCATAGCATCTGTTCTCTGCTTTATTCGCGGCTAGTGTTTGTTATTTATTAAGCGACTGTCGCTGAGTGGTTAGTGCATGAGACGCATAATGTCTAGGTCGCAGATTGAATCCGAGGCGTAGCCGAACTTTTAATTAATTCGAGGCTTATTTTTACTCTTTCGTCTTGCACTTTATAGATTGCTTTTTATCGTGTTCTCGCTATTGTTTCCGAAGCGAACTTTCGTCTTTGTGTTAAATATGTCATAGTAATATATCAGCAAGGCGTTTGCAACCGTTACTTTTTTCTTTCTTTTGGAGAATTTGACCACATTGTTTTTGATTGGTGTAGCGGAAAAGTATCTGACTTTTGCGACAAAGGTTTTAAGTTTGATTCCCGGTCATAACATCATTTCACACACTTCAATTTAGGCCCAATATTATAAGTCTAAATTTTCATGGTTTTTTGTTCCCTGCCACGAAGGTTGAAGAAACTCAATCTGTGGATTTGGTTTTCTAATTTTTCAGCGCAAAATCAAGTACGAAAAATATGTAGTTGGGGTCGATTACATCTCTGTTTTTCTTGCGACATATTCTTGAATCATTTAAAAGAGAAAAACTTGTTAGTAATTTTTAATAATTCAAAAACCCAGTAATAATTATCAAAGTAAACTTGGTTTTTGTTTCGTTTTCTTAGATCTGAACAAAAACTTGTTAGCGCCATTTTTGGCAATCAACAACGAGTTTGTTAGCGCCATTTTGGCAATCAACAACTTCAAAAAAATTGCAAAAAAAATACTGCAAAAATTGTCAATTTTTTTTTCTTTCCAGTCCTTTTTCAAAAAAAAAACTGATTTCCAAGTGCACTATTTTACTATGACTGTCGATTATGCCTAAGTGTTGAATCCAAAAATGGCGGTAACAAACTCCAAAAACTAACTTTCTCAATTAAAATTAAGTTTTCTAGCTTAAATTAAGTATAAAGCTATTGTAAGCCTGCAGGCTCCTCTTATTAGCTCAAAAGTAGACCCAAATTTCAAACCGGTTTCTCTCGACCCTAGGAAATGTTCTTTAAAATTTTCCTAATGTAGCTTGAATTACGACTCAAAGGGCTTTAATCTGATATATCACTCGACGTATTTTGATGATTATTTGTGATACCTAATCTTGCGTGGAAAACAAAGAAAAAGAACAAACAAAAATACAAAGTTCCTCTGCATTTCTCAAATGGTCGGAACAATAAACAATAGTTGTTGTTCTTACCAAATATCGGGAGTATGCAATGGTCTCTTATTGTTTGTAGTGGAATTGGTGCCAGGCTTCGCTGTGTCTATATTTAGAAAATTACAACGCCGCTGTATTCGTTAAGTGTTGTGATACGCGGGCGCAGCATTTTTGAATCGAGCAGAGGGATTAAAATGTCAAAATTTTCTTAGAAAATTTTTTTTATTATTATTTGCGCTCGCGATTAGTCACCGTTATCGAATCGGAACGTACACTTTTTTCAGAATATTAATTTGGCCGATAGAATCCTTGAACCATTTGATGAATTGATTAATTACCCTTACGATAAGCAACAGGGTATTAATTACTAAAGGTTAATACAACCCTTTGCTAATATTTTTCCCGTTTACTGGATGATTGAAATTGGCGTTCATTGTTGGCATGGATGTAATTCAACATCTAGTCTGGTTTTTTAATGCAGTGGTTTTGTCTTTAAAGCTTAATTTGCAAATTTTTCAGAAGTAATTTGATTTTTTATCGTCTTCATGGATGACTGAATATTTGTTGGTTTACTTCCCACGTTTTTTAAATCAATAATTTTTACTTCGCTTTTTTTTACTTCCTCAGTTTTTACTAAGAGTATTTTCATAGATTAATGAATAATTGTGAAAGAATAATCTTATAAAAATAGGATAGCACAAACTTTTATATTGTTTGTTTTGAATGCGCTGAAAGCTTTTGTTAGTAAAGAAAAAACGTTTGAAGTCGATGTCAGTTTTTTTGGCAACTTAGAGTCACGAGCTAGATTTCCCAGCAGTTTTATTTTCAATCCGTTCAAAGTGATCGTTCGGCAAACTTTTTGAATGCCTCAAATTTTCAAAAAAAGATTAGAATTTTTGAAACAACTGTGACCTGGCTGTTTTATATGTCCCAGCGTGTTTTCAAGAGTGATAGTTTCTGGCTCAAAGATATCCAAAAGATTTGAAATTTTTCCTTTTTTTTCTGTACGTTGTTAGTTTTTTTAAACTTTTTTGTATACATTTCATGCATGTTTTATTAAGTTTTCTTACAATTCTATTTTGAGCTAATTGTTAAAAACTATTCTTTTTCATTCGTTTCTTAGTTATAAGCAAGCAATTAATGGAGGTAATGATACCGCAATTTTTTCTGATCGAATTGCAATAAATACGTTGCTGTATAAGCTTTTGATTTTTCAGGCTTTTCGTCTTAGTGTCCAACTATTCTGTGCTAGGTTTCGATCCAAGTTAGTCGCAAAGGTTTACGAGAGGTTTCTGGTTTTCATCGTGCTAAGAGGTCATTTTTTGATTATTTATGGCCCCTGATAACGTTCTTAATCGCAAAAGTCATGTTTTGGGAAACTTGAATGTTGGTCATGAAATTGAATGCTGGTGCCAGCAGCCAATCTAAGATACGTTAAGACGTTGACATAGTTCCTTAATACTGCTTCTTATATCAAGTACTGTTTCAGCATTTTATGGTATAGTTTTTTCACATTGGTATTTCATCGATCAATTGAACCTTACCTTGAGTATGGTCGTCTGTTGCTGAAAAATTAGTCATAACTTCTGACGCCTCTTGTGAAATCACTTGGCTGTCGATTGTTTCACGGAATGAAACCGATTTCCTGTTTCCTCCTCGGCTGTCCATTGAAGTACAAGAATTGAGAATTTAAACTGCAAAAATTGTGAAAAATAACTACAAGAATTTAAAAAATTTACTACAAACATAAAAAAGCTAACAAATTTTTAGTAATCTAACTTAAAATGAAGATTTTTAAATGTTCAGATTCTTAAATGGGATATAGTTGTCTACTGGATTTTTCGCTATTTTATATGAAATGCGTTTTGCTTTTTTTTCTATTTATTCGTTGCGTAAACAATTTGATTTGTTTTTATTCCTTTTGGGACAAAAATGCATTAAGTTGAGTAAAATGGTCTTCCAATTCCAGTATTAAATCTTTTCAGGTTGCAATGAATTTTGATTAAACAGGAAAGTTTCTGCTTGATTTGAGACGATTTTCTCAAAATTTCTTTCAAAATGAGCTCAGGATGTATTGCACTGCTTTCACCGTCTGCTCAAAATTTAGCAAATAATGAAATTCAGTCAAGTTTTGACGAAAATGAACAGCCCGAAAATGAAGAAAGTGCAGAAGTTGGTGCTAACAATGACACCTATAAGGTTGCTCAAAATGTTCATGCCGAAATTGATGAAGATGAAAATGATGATCAGAAAGAGAATAAATACGGCCAGAGTGTGGTTGAAAAAGAAAAAGACGGGGCTGAATCATCTGATGGTTCGGAAGATAATTTGAAGAGCGGGAAAAAACCACGCGCACTGACTGAGAAACAAATTGAGGCAGAAAAAATGAAGCTGCATTCGGAAAGTCAACGAATTATGAGAGGTGTGCTTTATCATATTTAAGACTGTTATATGTTTTAAGATCTATAAAAGGAGATGATTTGACCAAAAGTTAATTAGATAGTGATAGTATTTATTCGCACCTGCAGCAGTAGATCTTGATGATCTATGTTTGATGTAAAATGTGTGCTTGGAGTGCAGTTATTTCAAATTGAGGGGGTGACTTAGGATTTCATTGTTAAGGGGTGTGGCCTAAAAAACTTTTTAACGCGCCTCAAATACTTGAAGAACTTACAGGTAAAAATCGTAAATATGATGTATCTTATACTGTTTTTTTTTAGTTGGTGCTCTCAAACTACCAAAACAAATCAGTTCCAAGAGTAAAGCATCGCTGGCAGATTTTGTGAGATCAGATTCGAAATTTGGCTCTTTCCTTGCCAAACAACACAGTGCACCAGCTGGTCAAATTTCCAGAGGAAAACGACATCTTACTGAGCTGAAGACACAACCCGAAGAGCCAGACGCAGCTCCTGATGATGTTGGAGAATCCTCCCAGGAAAACGTCGCAAACACTCTTATTTCAGCTGCTGCGAAGTTGAGGGCCCAAAAGTTGGAACGGTTACTGGGAAAGCCACTTCCAGAACTACATCAGAAGAAATCAGAGCCAAAAAAATCTGGCGTTGAAAATGTCGAGAGTTATCAACAGGTTGTAAACAGCAGCGGTTGCGGAGAAGAAATTGTGCTAATGAAATCTGCAAAGGATATTCAGAAGGAAAAATTAATGGAGAGGTTTACGCAACATGCACAGAAAAAGTGCGTATGATTGAAATTGTTCTAACTTTTCATTGTTTTCATTGGTTATCATTGGATGGTAGTGGTCAGTGACAGAGATTAAGCCGTGACACTCAATAGACCGCCTTGTCACTGCCGATTTTTAAATAATTCACCAGTTTTAAAAGCGATAAGAATAATCAGTTCGAAATAGTTTCTATATAGTATTAACTTGTTATCCAGGATTGAGCAAAATATCCTACCTGTTTAAGAAACTTCTATGATAGTGCTTGAAAAGTATGCTTAATGGAGGTTTTAAAGTGTAGAGTAATATCACTTATGATGTAGTCTGAATTTGTGCTTAAAATTGGGTTTCAAATGTGACGCTGTAAATTATGATTGAATTATTAGGAAACCGAAGCCCATTTTGACGCGTTCCCCTCTCATCACAGCCGCGAGTGCAATAGACGAGCGAATGCTGAGTCAGATGATGTTGCAGTCCTTAGAAGACGCCAAGAAGAGAAGTGCAATTGAAGCAGTAGTCGCCTCCAAGGACGGAAAAGTTATGCCAGGTTAGAAAGTATAATTAATTGGTTCTAGATACTGGCAATTTTCAAGCATCATTTAAGCGTCATTTTTAAATTAAATTTTTGGTTCATGCTTTTTAGTTTTTTACGACAGTTTCCTTTGACAATTTTTGTTTTCGGTCTAATTGGCGTCTAACCACTTGTTGTTGGCTTAGTGGACGCTGGGAAATTACTAAAAGCTTGCTTAATGCTAGTGGTTGTGTTTCTCATCTCTTTAACTGCCCATTTAGTAGCTTGCACTGGTACGCTTTCATTGTATCGCAAGTGATGCGAAGCTCCGCTTCGACTTTGTTTGATTAATACTTCGCATTGAAGTTCACTAAAACATTTCCAGGCATGGATGCATCCCAGGAGTTACCACCTGGACGTGGGAGACACCTGTTGAGGTCTAAACTGAAGAGTTGTATGAGTGACAAGATGAGACAGAAACACGAGGTCAGGTGTGAAATGTACGAGCAGGGCCGAAGAGAGTACAACGAGAGGATGGGCATTGAGGAGGGCCAGGAAGGCGAGGAGAAAGTGGAAAGTGACGAGGACTTCCAGCCGGATGAGGGGCAGGGGAGTGATGATCAAGGTGAGGTTATCCTGGGTTACTTTAAATTGATCGTTGAAATAGGCCAGCATAGAGAATATTTGTTGTTGATACTATCGACATATCTATAAGGTCTATGTTGAAGTGAAGTTTTTTGAAATATGCTGATCTTTTTCGTACAGTTCTCTGTATTGATCTACAGCTTTCGTAGATATTTTATGGCAGTTTAGTTGCTTTTTGCAGACTGCTCAATGTTCTTTTTGATGATGCAGCTTTTCAAGACTTGTAAGTTAAGAGTTCGGATTTGGTTTTTTAGCTGAAGGAGATAGTGGAAGTGATCTGGGCTCAGACGTCAATGGAGAGGAGGGAGTGGATGAAGACGACGACGAAGAAGAAGAGAGACGTGAGAGGAACATGATGATAGAGGACGAAGCTGAAGAAGGTGACGAGGAAGAAGACGAAAATGAAGATGACGTCACTGGAGGGAAAAGCAACCAAGACAAAAGAGACAAGCTGAAAAGGTATGCTCAAATTTAGTGGCTATTTTTTGCATTTTTTTTCGTCTTGGGAGTACATTCAAAAATGATTTATGTCCCTACCTCATCTCATGTAGTGTTGCTGATATAGGAGGAACTTAATCAACGTAGTCTGGGAAGATCTAAGATTTTCTCGAGGGGGTCGGCGGATTTTTAAAAAAATTTCAAAGACTGACCTTTTTTTAGGTTGACTAAATTAATTTTCCGAGCTCTCCCAAAGCTCTAAAAATACCCTGTTTTGGCCTGAGGTTCTGTGCCCCCTCGCCTAAATTCGCTACTGAATGTGGTCACTTGAGTTTGTTTTAAAACCAGTTATTATAGAAACATGTCTGATTTCTGATTTTTTTTGTTGAATTTACTGTTTTTCTTGCAGTTTGAACTTGGTTCGGTCCAACAATGAAATGGCGAATGAGACTGGATATAGTGACGCCTCCTCCTTCCTTCCGAATGCTCAGATGCCTAGATCAGACAGCAACATCACGCCACTCAGCATCACTAACACCAACACAAATAACAACGTATGTATTCAAGTGGTGTGTGAATACTAGCAGCTATCTGTTTTCAGAGAGCTATCTGTTATCTTCAAATTTCTGTTTTCATCCGTTTTATTGAGTTCAAATTAAGTTTTAGTAGTTCGTTGACTATTCTCATAACTGTTTTTAGAATCGAGTCATATAGGGAGCAGCGGGCGTGCTACCTTTAGTTTTTCAGTGTCCGTTATACAAGAAATGAAATGTCCAAATTTTTGAAAAATGGTTATCATAAAAGTTGTCATCTTCTTTGAAAGATGAAATTCTTGAAGCGATACCTGTATGTGCTTCGCCATGGAGGCATTTCTCTGCTAATAGGTCATTAACCTTTTGATAGTCTCATTAATCTATTTTTATTCATTTTTTGTTCAGACGATTGCCTTAGACGACAGCATGTTTCCACCTATACTCTACAGAGCCGACTCCTCCCGCACTAATGACGGCAGCAGCAGTCGCAAGAGTCCAGAAGGAGACGGCGACAGCGAGTACCTCTTTAGCCAATCAAACCTATTCGACGACGACGGGTGAGGGTACAATCATTGCAGTGTTTAAGATATAACGGAAGAAAGAAAGAATCTTTCTGAAAGAAAGAATATTTCTTCATCATAAATGAACATACAATCAGAGCAGCAAAATATGAGTATTGGAGAGGACAGACAACAGGATCCTTGGATCCACTAAGCGTCTGCCCTTTCACAGCCTATATGTGACATGTTACATAGCATGTTTTTAACGGTTGATTAATCTCATTTCAAATGAGCTTGGAAAATTTTCGTTAAAAACAAAATTTATGTTCAAGTTTTTCACAAGTGAGCAGTTAGTGTATAAGTACGAACCTCTTTTTTTTCTAACCTAACTCGCAAATAAAAGTGTTCATTAGAAGTGTTAAATTGGGTGCCTTTTTACTATAATCACGAAATGTAGCATTGGAAATTTCATAGCATTTGTTCTCGGCTTTATTTGTGGCCCAGTGGTTGTTTGTGGCTGTGTTTAGTGTGTGAGACTCAAAATTTTGAGGTTTTAGGTTTGAGTCCGAGGAGACGTCGCCGAATTTTTACGAATTAGAGGCTGATTTTTACTTTCGTATTGCTCTTTTTAGAACTCTAGAGCTGCTTTTTGTCGTGTTCTCGCAGCTGATTTCAAAACGAAAAACATGGATGTTGCTGACTTCCGTGGTCTTTGTTAAGTTTCCTTACACTAAGCCAGATTGTTGAATCAAATTAGATCAGCCTCTGGTCATTTTTTACAATAACTTGAGAGTGTTACTTGAGAATAATGACAAGGCGATGGGTCAGTGGAGAAGACAAACTACGCATAATCTAGAGGGCCGTGGTTTGAATCCCGTAGTAAGCTAATTTTTTCTATTTTTCAGGTTTATTCGAACTGAGAGGTCAAGTCACCAAGAAAAGAGTGAACGAGAGCGGGAAAACTGGATCAAATGTTTACTCGATAGTTCCACCACGAACAATACCTCGAATAGTGCAAATGTATTGGCCCACGATACCACTTGTGACGAGGAAGTCTCAAAACTCTGTGCTGCAAGCAGCGTGAACAACACAAGCGATGTGAACAAAAGTATGACCAACTTTAGACCTTCATCTGGCGAAAATGCAATTTTGGACCCCGAGGATATCGGATTTCTATGCAGTGGGAATTTTGTTACTCAGAACTCGCAGGAAAACCCTGCCGATAATTCGACCGAAGGGTAAGACTAGGTCAGATAGCGGGAAGAAATATCTCGGTGTTTCTTTTTTGAGAAATAGAAGCTTGTCTTAATGTATATCGAGGTTTTTTTAAGTGTCATGAACGTAGTGAAAGCATTTAAATAGGTCTTGTTGGTTTTTTTTTTCAGTTAAAATTTGCTGACGCCAATTTTGCGCTTTGACTTTTGATTTCTTTTAAAGTTTAAATTGAATTCATTTACGAAAAGGAAGGCAAATTGTGCTCCTCAATTACGAACGCAGAAATGGCGCGAAAAACGTGGAGTTAATTTCAAAATAAGATTTAATTTTTTTTTACTTTTCTCAGTACCATAAAAAATTACCCCTTGATACAGTTTTAAATTTCTATTTATCAAAAAAGTGTCAATCATTAATTGCTCTGGAAGTTCAAAGAGCTTTAAGACCAGATATTTTTGCTTTGCAAGTTGAAACTTTTTATTAGTTATGTTTTCACGTGTCAATTGGCTATTCTTGCTTTGATACCCAAGAGTGCTGAGTGTTATATGATCAGTCTTTTTTGGACTCGGTTGCGCATTTTTCTGCAAACTGTTGTGCAAAGTTGATAAGCTACCTAAGCAAGATCCAGTTCTATCCGCTTTAATATATTGCTTTCTCTGATGCTTGAAATCTTCACACGTGCAAGCTTGAGAGCGCAGGGTATTAGTACGAACATTCTTTTTTTCAACCTAACTCGCAAATAAAAGTGTTCATAAACAGTGTATTTGCTATAATCACAATCTGTAGCATTAAAAATTTCATTGCATCTGGTCTCTGCTTTATTTGTGCTAGTGTCTGTTAGTTATTAAGTGGCTGAGGTGTTAGTGCGTTAGACTCATAATCTCTAGGTCGCAAATCGAATTTGCGAATAAGCCGAATTTTTTTTACTTCAAGGCTTAGTTATACTTTTTCTTATTGCACTTTATAGAGCTGCTTTTTTGTCGTGTTCTCGCTGGTGTTTGCGAAGCTCAGCTTCGAATCTGTGTAGAGTGAATAAAATTGAAAGTGGGTTAATAGAAGAAGCCATGCTTCAATAGTTGAAGCCAACCATTCTCGGGCGGTTTTCGGGTTTCTGGAGCTATACTTTTCTTTCATTTTCTGTTTTTCCCTTCTCTTAGCATTTTCCAGGTTCGTTCTCACTTGGCCTAGGGGTAAGGCCGTCGCCTTTGCACCCTAACGACTGGGTTTCGAGTATCGGCCGGACCTTGTTTTTTTGCAGTATGCATACAAATGAATTTTTTTTTCGTTCAAATTAGAATTGTCGGATTTTTCTCTTTTCGAGTGTTGTCGGCTAAGTCGCCACATCAAGGATTTTGCTTTAAGAATTTTCATTGAAAAAAAATGCAAATTCAAGTGTTTTCCATAGTAGTTTTTTTTTTTGGTTCAACTGGTGTCTGCTCTAAGGCCTTGTTTTGCTCATGTAAGTTTTGTTCCGTTGCTAATTTAATATTCAAATGTCTGGCGTGTTTGCCTAGAATGAACTTCTATCGAGACATACGAATAAAGTAAACTCTTATATAGGTCGCGATATGTTTTTTTTTTGTTTTTTAATTTCCCAGCGAAATAAATAAATTACTGATTGATCCAGATTTCTCATTTTGGGTTACATTTATCAAAACATTGCTAGTCATAAATTGTTCTAGAAATTCAAAGACCTTTAAGGGCATCTACCTCTATTTTTTTCTTTAAATTACGAAATAAGATTTTTTTTTTCAAAAAACAAGTCAATATTTTTTTGTTTACTTGCGTTCATTGACTCTTTTCCAACTGTCCATTGGCTATGTTTTTTTTCACCTTTTTCTGTTTTTGATTAATGTTTTGTTAATGTTTGTATTGTATCGCAGTGGTGCGAAGCTCCGCTTCGCCTCTGTCTTAATTCTTTGTTCTATGCTGAAGGTCAAAGCAGGCAGAAGAAAAGTCAGTATTCCCCCACATGAGCAACTCCGGGTCCAATCCAAGCAGCTCTCTGGACGAATTAGCCATGCTTTGCTCCGCTCCTTTTCCGAACAATTTCGCGAGCCAGACGCAACCTCGTGGAGCTGCACAGGCGTCTCAGAACTCACGGTTAGCTCTTTTATTAGCTCAAGAAATTCAGTAGTTTGCAATTAATCAAACGTTAATGGAAGATCTTAAGTTATTGTGGGTAGAAATATCTTCAATTTTTTTTGAATTTTTAAAATTCTAACATATATTAGGCGCAGAGAGTAGTATTGTTTGGCCTTGATTTTGCTGTAAATGTTAGTGAGAATGGTTAGTTATTTGATGGAATTATTTTCAAGTACCGGTTTTTCAGTTCCCTTGAATCAGAGAGTATCCGATGGAGAAATTATCTAATACAAGAGAAATTTGCCGAGAATATTGAAGTCCGACGACTCAGTAAACTCCTAAAGTTTGATCACTTGAAAAACAATTGATTTTTTATGATTAGATATCAGTCGAGTCCACTGGAGGATAGTCCAGCTGTAGTTAACGTGGAAGGAGCAGCTGCTGGCTTAAATGGACGTCTCGAATCGCCGGCATTCTCTGCTGTGGACCCGAATAGCCCCCTTGCAGGCAAAGAGTCTTTCGGAGTCAACGGTATGTTTTGAATTCTCAAAAGTAAAGAATGCTTTTAAGGTACGTAGGACGAGAAAAAGAAGAAGAAGAATTTATTTTTTTCACAAGTCACAACAAACAATATCAGCATAAAATAAATTTAAGATTACTAGAAATTAGACATTTACGCCAACGTTATAAGCACCAGACTTTGGAGTGGATAGACAAAGGGCACATAGATTGACCACTAAGAGTCTACCCATTAAGCATATCTATGATAATGACGACAAAAAAGAAGTGACGGTGAGGCAACCATTGCTTCGCTTTGCAAGGCTGAGGTATGTGGTTCTAGCTACACGATGATCCGCTTGCGTTTGCTGTTGCTGGAAAAACTAGGTGCTTTTTACAGAGCACAATAGTCCTCTGTATAAATTGAACATCTGTTGTATCCAAAGTGAAAAAAAATATATGATTAGTTCTTAATGATTTCCAAATTGAAATCTAAAGATGTGAATTGGCCCAAAAATCTTCATTGTCTTATTTGGGTCCGAATGGTTTTCAAACTCGATTTGACTTTTGTTTGCTGCTTTGTAGCGGAATACTCTCCGTCGGAAGAACCCCCCGAGGGTAGCAACATCGATGAAGACGACGATGAAGATCAAATTCTAATGACTGCCCGGAAAAGGCCTCAAACTCCAAAATCGGCCGCCAAAAAGTCTAGGAAATCCAGGGTTCTTGCTGACAGTGACTCGGAAGCAGAAGAGGACAAGGTTGATATCGAGGACAACGAATGTGACGTCATGAAGGAATTAGCCGAATCGAAGGTCAAAGAGACGAGCAAAGATGAGTTGAGTGTGTTTGATGGCGGAAATAGTGTGAAATTATTTTCGGAGTCGGCAGCAAGTGAATTGGGAGAGAAACAATCGGCTAATAGAACAAATCAGGAGCTTGAAAAGTGAGTATCTTTTTTGATTTTTATATCAACGCTAACATCTGCATCATTTGACATGGCCACCGGCGTGGCTATTCCTGTTGAATCTATTTCATATAAGTTGCATGTAGTTAGACATTGTGATTCTCAACACCTTGTATATACTTTCGTTTCTCTTGAATTAAAAATCAATTGTCAATTATCGAATATTGAATTTAACTCCGAAAGTTTAACAGAAGTCATGCTTGCTCATTGGAACATTTTGTTTTAAATCATTTTTGTTCTATTGTTTTTTTTGTCGACCAGAAAATCAGACGAGCAGGAAAGTAATTCAACTGAAAATGAGGAAAACAACGAATTTGGAAAAAATGAGACTGGCCGAAAGCTGCGCCGAGTTGTGCTGGATGATGATGACGACGACGAGGATGAAGACGCAGATGACGAAGGTGAGCTTGCACAATGAAATTTTCATAGATTTTCAAAATATCACTAATATGTTGAATCAAAACAAGAATGAAACGATGCTTTGTAATTGCGCAATGAAATCCATTTTAAAATGCCATTTTATGTTCGAATTTAGGAAATGCAAATCATTTTGTTGTCGTTTTTTTTTTAATTGCAGGGCTATTTTTTCGGTTCAATGGCATTCTACCCTATTGCAATCTACCTTGTGCTAGTCTACCCTATACTATTCAAACCTATCTTCCAAAATACCCTATACCAACCTACCCTATACCATTCTACCCTATAATTAAAGCAATTGAAACTTACCCCATCCTCTTGAAGAATCCGAAACAATATTTCCGAACAAATCAAAGAACCATTAATTGTGTTCAAAGAATAATTTCCACACGTGAACAAAATATCAAAGCAACGTACAATTTGCTTGTTCAAAATTGAAATGAGTTGAAAGCATGAACAGAAATTTTAATCCAATTTTGCGATAGAAATGCGTTGCGGCTGTTTCTTGAACGCGCAAAAGTTATATCACACCAAGCCGACATAGTTTAGCGGATAATGCATGTGTTTTCAAATCGAAAGATCAACTCACCGAAAAGTGGAACTCTTAATGAAATTCGAAAATTACTAAAGGTTCGACTAGTTGAACACAAAAGGAGGGGTAGATCACCCAGTACCAGGCCAAGACTGTACTGGGGGCGGGGTGATCGCGAAAGTAAAATTCTTTTGATATTGGCCTCTATCACCTCCCAAAATATCAGCCCTCTACGGCTACGGGAACCTCAAAAATGTGTATGTTTTTAGAAATTCAATTGAATTTTTAAAAAATTCATAAAGTTTGATAAAATAAACAGAATTAGGAATGACTTAATTGCGCGAGAGTATTCAAATATGTTAAAAAAGAATTTTCTCATTCAATTCCCTGTACTTCTGGCGACTGGGCTTGCTGTTTTCTTTGTATCGAAGTTTTGGTTGGCAGCATCCAATTTGATTTGCTCTTGAAAGGTTTGAATGGATAGGTGGTTTCCTTTAGAGTAGCAACGCCAAGATGCCAGCCTTCTACGGCATTTGTTGTCCTTATTAATCCAATTAATCCAGCAGCTGCTTCTTCGGAATGATTCCAAAGTGGTCGCGAGAATTCTTTCCGATGGTTTTGCATTTGATGCAGGTGTGTTGGAAGTATGACGCTACCTCATCAAGTTTTTAAGTGATATTGTCGTCGAGATCAAATCAGATACTTTTTCGATCTCTTCAATAACCAAGTCGAAAGCAGCGGTGACCATTTCAACTGGTACAAAACTAATAGGTGGAATTAGGCGCAACGACAAGTTGAGCTCGTAATTTGTTTCATAGTCGTTTTAGGCCCACTTCGTTTATTTTCCGGTTGAACGCTTGACATAAACGAAAATAGCAGCCTCTAAGCAACGCTCCGGTATGATGACTAGCGAAAGCATTTATTGCTGCACGCTCAATCGAAGAGAAAGCGTTGAGGCTCGATGTTTTTGGTGATGGCTGATAAGACCTTCAGTAGATTTTGTATGTGTGTTCTTTTTTGTTTGGCAACTGTGCATAAATGCAGGGGAAGTGAAATCCAGCGAGTTGAATGTGGATGGTGCAAAGTTGATAGAACTGAATAGGGAAAACTTTGATTGTTTTGTCACTCAGCCAAGCATCTCGATGTAATATCAAATTCTGGATTTTGTCGCGATCTGCAAAAATGAGCGCTCTTTCTGGATCTTCAATGCCGCAAAAATCCTCGTGATGCTTCTGTATCTCAAAATGTTTGTCGACAATTGGAAGCATTGTGGGGCTCTCATTTACCTTCTGTCGATTGAGGGCCCGATTAATCGCCGACCGACAAGGAAGAGCTAATCGAACGGCTTTTTGTTCGGACACAGACTGCAGGCAGTTTGCTATGATGATACTATTGACTGGTACTTGCTGAGTTTTAGTGTCCGGTTTCATTCTCTGCTCGAGAAGCCTTGCATCTGAACGACTAGGAAATACTTCGTGAGTGTGTTCATTTCTACAGGAAATAAGATCGTTTTCTCGGGTTATTGCTGTCGTTTTGCATTTATGGGATCCCCACCTTAAACTTTTCTAGTGAATTTTCCATTCTTTGTTTCCAGTTTCTTGGTGAACTAGTGGCCATTGATAACAAGCGTTCTCCGATTCTGTTAGACCCCAAGAATTTTGACTCATTTTGAAAATGCTATTCCAAGGAAAATTGATTTAATGAGGTAGTTTTTGTTTTATTTTTGTACGTGATATTGAAAATTGGGGATTAAAACCTGTTAATTGAGAGAAATTTTGGGTTTTGAGGCTAAAATTGCGATTGAGTCTTTTGAGCAATTTCCTTAAGTGAAATACTCAAATTGAGTTCAAAATTTTTTGCTCAAATGAATTAACACGTGCTGTTATCTTTCAAGTTCTAATTAGCACTCTGAAAGATTACATAATTATGCGGCAAATCGATACAGGGTAGGTTGGTATATAGGGCACATTGGTATAGGGTAAATTGGTATGTAGGGTATAATGGCATAGTTTAGAATTGTACAGGGTAGTTTAGAATAGGGTAGATTGTCCTGCCACCATTTTTCGTCTTTCTAATGGTCAACGTGTCGCTTCAAAATGATTTTGCCAAACTGCAGAGAAAATTTTTTTGGATGGTAGGTTTCTTTTCTATCTGTTGAACAGTTATTAATGTGTGTATTAATTAGGAGGAGACGAGGACGACGATGACAATGACTCAGAGGGGGAGGGAGAGTACGAGGATGGTGAGGCAGAAGATGGGGGCTACTATGAAGATGAAGAGGGGGCGTTGCCGGCGGAGGAAAACGAAGAGCTGTTGGAGTATAGAAGAGCAGCGGCTGGGTGAGTGTTGCTTACCTACTCGTTTTTGATAGTTTTAGACCAGTCGATGGTTTAGATCGGCTCAACTTTTTCGCCTGCAACAATATTTAAGTTAGTTTTGCAGAAAAAAAGATTAGGTACAGAAGTGATGAATAGACGTTGTTTCCATTTTTATATTTCAAAATTTATAAACATGGCTCAAGTTTTTACGCTAGATATTGACGGTACGTCGATAAAAGTGAAAACTACTCAATTTTTTCAGAATAAAGGTAGCAGACTACATGGATGATCAGGCCGAGTTGTCGGGCAGCGACGCGGGCGAAGGCGGCTCGGACGACGAAGGCGACTACGGGGGACTCAACCCCAACGAGTACGAACAGGATGGCCTGGACGACAACATCTCGGTGTCGAATGCGCAGCTGCGAGACGAAAACGGACGCATCCTGTTGCAAGATATGCTGAGCGAGGAACAGCGGGATCTGAAGTTGTTGCAGGAGTTTCTGCTTGGAGATGACGAAGAAGAAGGAATGCAGAGGATCAGACAGTTCAAGTGGAAAGATCTAGGTATGTGCCACTTAACAGATCCTCTGGGTTTGATTCACTTTGATGTATGAGTTTCTTGGTTCTGAAACTTAGAAGTATCAAGGCCTAGCTTATTTATCTGGCATGAACATTGGGGTCTGCACCGGTGGTTATTTGTTTTATTTTGATGTTAAGACATTGATTGTTGTTTGTTAATCTGCTGCTAAGTCATCTGCATTTCATTAATGGGGCAAATCATATGAAGATGTTTTTTCCGGCTTCTTACTAAGGAGCAGGAAGGAACAGGTGACTCTGGCGTGGGTGTTTTTTTTTCCAGTCGACAGGTAACTCAAAGAAAGCTCGCAGGGGGTCAAGTTTGATATCCTATCACATCCCTCTCAGTCGTAATTCGGGCTCTAAAAAGAAACATGAATTTTGAGGTGAACGTCGAGGAAGACATGAATTTTCCGGTCTTCAGACTCATTTATGGTATGACTGTCGCGGAGGCTGAGTTTCCAATCTATTGCAATTTTTACAGCTTTTGATCTCATTCCTTGCCCTGTTATGAAATAAAAAAATATAGAAAATTTAGGGGGGGGGGAAGTCAAAATTTTTTGAAAATTATTTGAGAAAAAGTTCAATTTTTTAAATTTTTGCCTAGCTTTCAAAGTTCATTACAACAATAAGCGTGGTCGGAACTTCTGCGGTTTCGAAATAACCGCAGCCATCCTTTGATTTTGCAATATTTGCAGATGAGAACGACGGATCTCTCTTGTTCCACAGCAATGATGACTCGGACGACGAAATGGACTTGGGTGGTGGTGTTAGTGATCTACTTGATCCGAATGCCAAGGCAGAATTTATGAGCAGTATGGCAGCCGCACTTGGCGCTGTCCAGGACATCTCGGAACAATCGGGATCCAAGGCCAAAGCCAGACTGGAGTTATCCCAGTGGCTGCAGTCGGAACATGCTGCCGTCCAGATGCAGAATCATTACGAAAAACAGCTCCAGAGTTCCCAGTCACAATTGGCGTGTTCGAATATCACAAAACTGAAGTTCAAGTCTACCTCTTCGCTTATTGCTGCGCGCTCCACAAATATCGTTGAAGATATTGGTTAGAAATTATGTTTGCTTTAAGTGTTTTTTGGATATGTATATGTCACGTTAAGTGTCAAAATACTAGTGATTACGGTAATGATTTTATGGAAAGCGTTTTTATACATTTGTTTCAGTTAGTTTCAATTCGTTTTTATATATACAGTTGTTTCAGTTAGTTTCAATATTTAAATCAGATAATTGTGGTTTATTTAGGGGCCAATCAAAGTGTTCTCGGCGGCACTGAGTCCACTGATCCGAAGAGCGCGTCCAATCTCTTTTCCAAGTCAACAGTACCTGCAGAATGGAATAGCATGCCAATCGACCACTATTTCAAACGAAGGGGATCAAAGCTGTCTTCAGAGGCACTTGTAAGAACATTTCTTGTCTTGTTTTTTGCTATGTCTAGCTTGATTCAAATATGAAAACCTGAATTTTTCACAATGATGAATGTTTACCATTGCGATAAGCAAGGTTATTGCAATCGGGTACTAGGCTTTTCCCCCGTAAATAACTTAGTGAACAGGACTCGCCTCCTGGATCCTGGACTCATTCATCCACTAGGCCTTTCTGTTGCTACAGAGATATTTAGAGCATGTTAGCATTTCAAATATACGGCCTATTCGAAATATGTTTTTTTTTTTCATGTTGGTTGCAATTTTACCAACTCGATTTGTTAAAACTTCATTTCAACCTTTTCTTTTTTCTCTAGGAGGTTTCTGCCTAAGAACCTAAGTTCAAAAGGTTTCTGCATATTTTATATCGGCTTAGTGGCCCCATATGGCATCTTATGATGAGCGAAAAAAATTTTGTGTGCGTTTCGAGGAGGATGAGATTAAACAATTTTTTAGTTTTGAATTAGTTTCCGATTTTTATGTGTATTTTTTTCGGCTACAAGGGTTTCTGCTCTGACTTTTTTAACGCCTGTTAAGTTTTCCAATGCTAAATTTTTACATTCTTTTGTATTAGCTTTTTATGGTTTCTGGAGTAGATCAAGTTTTTTCGACTTATCTTAAACTTTTCGATAATTTTGACTTTTTTTGATGTTTTTTCGACCATTTTTTTTCGAGTATTGCATCGTTAGTGGTTGAAGCTCAGCTTCGCCTCTGTGATGAAATTAATGCGGTAGATGGATCTTTTGACGCTCGTAAAGTTTCTTATTTTTGATAAGAAAGGAAAATTTACATACAGACAGCTAAATTTTTTGTCAACAGACTGCTATATTTTTTGGAGATCGAGTGTTTGTATGGTCAAACTTGGAATTCTGTCTAAATGGTTGTTAAAGAGATTGATGCTTAAAAATTTGGGCTCTGAATTTCTATTTATCGGATTGGGAACTCCACAAAATCGGTTCTTCGTCTTTCAGTTCCGACACAGTTCAATGCTGAAGAGTGCAGCTGTGAGATTGACACAATTAGCCGACAAAATGAGAGAAAAGTCAGGTGCTTCGAAAGCAGGCGGGGGAACACAAAGTGGACTAAAGAGTAGCAGCAGTGTGATGCAGCCGGCAGTAGACACGAAGAATATGGTGTTCAAGAGGAAAGAGATGCCACCTAGTGATGTTGCAGGGGACAGTAGGCAGCCAGCAGATGCGACCGCGAAGACGAAAAATGTGAAGCGAAAGTCAATGGTGAGTGTATAGAGAATTGGAAACAGCTGGAACAGCAAATGACCTATTTCAGAAAGTTTTTGCATGCTAACGCTGAAGTTTCAGACAGAAAGTATGTCTCAAGGTTACCTAAATTGTCAAATTTGCATGAAAAAAGTGCTCAAAATTGACAGATTGCTCTTTTCAAGATCCGATGAACGTAGTTCAGATTCTTATATAGGTCGCGATGATTTTTTTTCGTTTTTCAGGAAAAGTTAAAGTTTGTTCAGGCTCGAATTCATTTTTTCGAGGTTTGCTTTTTGATTTCTTAAGTTCAGTTCTTTGCCTTAAATAGAAAAGGAAGGCAAGCTCAATTATCGAACAGAAAAAGGGCACAGGTCACGAAAAACGTGATCAACTTCGAAAATGGAACTTTATTTTCAGATTTCCCAGCGAAGTTTTACTTATTGATCCAGTTTTTTCAAATTGGGTTAAATTTATTTTAAAAAGTATTAATCATAAATTGTCCTTGAAATTCAAAAAGAGTTAAGACCATATATTTTCAATTCGCAAGCTGAAGTCTTTTCTAAAACTTGATTGACTTCTGGTTTCGAAAGTGGAATTTAATTTACAGATTTCCCAGCGGAATAAAGAATTTACTTATTGATCTAATTATCTCAAATTTTGTTATTTTTATCAAAAAATTGACGATCATAAATTGTTCTAAAGATTCAAAGAGCTTTAGGGGCATCTATTTTTCTGTTTGATTGCGTTCATTGACTATTTTCCAACTGTCTGTTGGCTATGTCCTTGTTTTTATAACGAAACAAATTTAAGAATTTTCCGCTTCAGATTGGCCCTTTATTAGCGTCTTAAGTGAAATCTAGGATTGTTTGTTTAGAACTTGCTTTTCCCTGCCTTAACTAATTTTGCATAAAAATTCTCTGTTTCAGCACGATTCAACTTTGACCAACGGAACACCACTGATGAAACACGCTAAACTCGATATTGGAACGAGACTCAGAGCTGCAAAGTCATTCATTTTAGACAATTTAGATTAGAAATATATTGTTCGTATAATCAATGATTTGGGAGAAAATACTGCTTTACTTGTTTTTGATCAGTTGTTTGTTTGATTGTTGTACTGTGAGTAAATTAGAATTTCCACTACTAGAAATTGTTCTGTGAAGCTTTAAATTTTTTCTATTGTTTTATCAATTTTGTTGGACTCACAATTTTAATTTTTGTCTGTATTTTTTTTCCAACCTGTAAGAGAAAACAGCTGTGATAGCTTAAGATGAGTTTGGGGAAATCAAAACAACCTGAGCAAGTTGATTTAACTTGGGTTTTGAGTGCTACAAATATTTTAATTGTAAAGAAAAATTACTTACTCAGCTAACAAATTTTTCTCATACAACTAGTGTGCAATGAGTTAGAAATCAATCAGAGATGTTTCGACGGTGACAGCAAGTTGAGTTTTTTTCAGAGAAAATAATGTCCAATAAAGGACAAATTCAGGTCATTTTTGGGCCAATGTTTTCTGGAAAGTCGACAGAATTAATTAGAAGAGTGAGACGCTTGGCAATTGCGCAGTCATCCTGTTTGGTGATAAAGTATGCAAAAGATACTCGGTATGAAAAAGAAATGCTAGCAACTCACGACAATAGCACAATGGCGGCTGTCGCGGTCACCAAACTGAGCGAAATCGAAAAGTTATCCAAAAGTTTCTCTGTTATTGGTAAGTAAAAAGAATTGATGAGGCTGTTTGAGCTAAAAAAACGATTTGCAGAAAAAGTAACCAGTTGATGTGCAAGTAGCACAAGGATCCGAACACAGTTACCATTTGAGGAAAAAAAACTAAAAACATAGTTTTTTTTCAATTCTAAAAACATCAAATTTTTAAAACGTCAAATCGAAACAAGGATAGCCAGAGTCAATGCAAGTAGCACATAATGCGCCTTCTACACTGATTCAAGAATAACTGTCTGACGACTATAAATAGTGAAGACTCGCGGTTTCAGGCAAACTTTGTTCAGACTATCGGTTTGACTTTTGATTTTTGTCTGAGTTCAGTTTATTTCCTTTGATTAGAAGTTTTTTTTTCTAATCTAAGTTGCAAATAAAAGTGCCATTTAGTGGCATTTTTGGTTTATTTCAATTTAAGCCTATTTAAGAATAATCAATTTAAAAGGATATATTGCTGCTTTATTTTTGGCTAGTGTTAAATCCTGTTTGAAAAAAAAAACAGGTATTATAAAAGTATATGGTTTTTGTTGGTTTTTTTTCGCGACGCTTTGTAAAATTTCAGCACCTTTTGAGAAATTTCAATTTTTATCAAAAAAAATACTGAACCATTTTTCATAAAATTGTACCGATGGAAAAATTGGCTGCTTTTCTTTGCGCTTACATTTTTTGCTATACATTTTACCCAACGTTCAAGGCCTTCAAAAGATGGATTTTTGATCTAATTGTTTTTATTTTTTTTTATTTTCTAAGATATTAAATGCCCAAATCTGAGATAGTTTCAATTTAAAAAAACTATGGGGATATCCATCCCCTTCTCAAGCGGCTATTCCCTAAATTTGGTTCAACAATTGTTATCGGCTCAAACAACCAAATAAGTTGACATTTTGTTAACTTTTGACCTCTCTCATAAGTTACCCTGCCAAATCGGATATTAAAAGTTTGACCGAAAAAAAGTCAGTCTCTTATGCAAATCTTCTTGAGCAAGTGACTCTGCCTGTGTTCCTGTGTTTTGAAAATAAATATGGCCTCAGAAAATTTTTGAATTTTTGTCCAGTTTTTGGAAAGTTAACTCTTTTTTTAAATCAAAAATTAGCCTACTGATTCTGAGGTTGGTAGCTCATACAAACTAACTTGGTGCTTAGATTTTTTCGCAATCTGTTTTACCCTATTTGCATGTAGAAAAGCTGATATGGACTTTCGAAAAATCCTATCTTTGAAGTTTTTAGCGTTTTCGTAAGAAATTTCTTCACTATTCTCGAAAGCTACTAGCTAAATCTGATATCAAGGTTTCAATCTAACAATCAGGGCGTGGACGTCTCTCCTGCATAAAAATTTGGATTGAAGCAAAGTCAATTTTTTGAATTTTTGATCGTTTTTGAAAAAAAAATTTTGAGATAAAGACTTCATTTCAAAGAGCGAGTAGTTGATTTCTCCTTAAAACAAGTGGATAATCCCCTATACAGTGAAATCACTAGCGTTTTGCGTAAAGTCCCCTTTTTGAAAATAAGGCGTTTCGTATCAGTACAATATATGATTAAATATATTAAAACAGGTGGATCCAGTATTAGCAATTTGATAGAAGCTGTGGCTGTTTTATTGATGGCCAGTGTTAGTAAATTTACAAAAGGTCGTGGAGCAGATGTGAGAACGTGGTTGGCCTAATCTCACCAAAAAAAAATTTCTTCAGGTGTATTTACACGTGTTATAGTATGAACTCTCTTTTTTCCAACCTAAGTCGCAAATATTGTAGCGACGCTAATATGGCTGCGACAAAAGGTGTCCATTTAGAAGTGCTTATTTTGATGAATAACCAGCTATTAAGTACAGCCAATGCTAAGGATATTAACACAGACTATTATATTACAAATAGCTTATCAAGGTATCATGGATATGTAGTGTAGAGGTATGGAAGGAGACCTGCAACAGAATAAGAGGGTTCGAACCTGGGCAGGGTCGTTTGTTTTCAATGAACTTTTTCGTATACTAGTTAAAATATGTGCGCTCTATAAATTGAGGTTATGTTAGTTGGTAGTTTTTTTCAAATCGACTGGTACTGCGTGTGTCACTTAAGAAATTTTGCAGACTCAAAGTTTTACTCATTCAGTTTTTTCCAGTAGCTTTATCGGTCATTTCTTTGCTTGTGTACTCTCGTATAATCTTATATTGTATAAAAGTTTTTTCATTTAATTTTTCGTATAGCGTATACAAAACACTGCTTCAAAGAATTCTTTTATCCATTGCATAATTAAGGATTGTGAGATTAATATGGTCTAAAATGAGCAGTCTTGATCTGTTTAGGAATTGACGAAGGTCAGTTTTTCGACGACATCGTTAGCTTTTGTGAGAAGTCTGCGAATGCAGGAAAGACCGTTATAGTCGCAGCGTTAGACGGGGACTTCCTGCGACATGGATTCAACGACATTCTTAACCTGGTACCGCTAGCCGAAAGTGTCATCAAACTTAACTCAGTGTGCATGTTGTGTTATGGCGACGCTTCTTTTACTAAAAGAATCGGAACAGAAATGACGCTTGAGGTTATAGGAGGCAGCGACAAATATATCGCTGCTTGTAGATCATGTCATTCGAAGCAACTGCTTTCTCCTTTAACGCCTAGTGTAATGATTAATGGAAATCACACGCAGTTAAGAGATTGCGTTTTGTTAAATAAAGCTGACTTTGTCAAAAATTTATCAGAAAATAAGGAGAACATCCGAAAAACCGAATCAAATAGTTTAAGCTGAAATTTGTATTGAAGTCATGTTGTTTGAAGTTTGTGCAGTTATGTTGTTTGAATTTTGCTTACCTAGTGTGTTTCAATGAAATGAATTTAAATTTTTTTTAGCCGTTCTGTTATAACACGAAGTTTTTATTTTTATAGACAATAATTTATATAGACGATAAAGGGCATAATTTTTGTCATTCAGGAAAGGATTTCTATTGCCTTATCAACGCCTTGAGCCAAAAATTTTTTACGCCTTGAGTTTCGGCAAAGAGGTCTCTGACTGCAGTTTTTCAAGCCGCGTTGGGCTTTTTTTCGTGGTTTTGACTATAAATGCAGCAACATTGAAAAATAACGTGTCCCTTAGTCTCATGAGGATTCTGTCGACTAATATTTTTAAACAACATAAAATCGGTCAGGATAACAGGTATTCACAAGTATTAAATGTTTTTTTAAAGTCCGAGTATAAGTTTGAATTTTATATGAGCTTCACGAATCATTAGTGATAGATATACTGCATTTGAGATTCAATTTCTAAACACGAAAATAGAAACTGAATTGTGTTATCTAGTGAAAATTGCTTTGCTTCAACATCTGATTTCACCATTTGGCTTGCAAATTGGTCTGCCAAACTGATTTGATTGTTTAGCAATTGGCTTAAAATATATACTCTAGTTAACCATTTAATTTTAGTTCTTAAGGAATAAATTCAAGGTTGCTTTATGCGAGGAAACCATGCTTGACTTTCGGCGCCACTCAAATCGCTTGAACACTCAATGACTAGTTTTTTTTGCGAGATTCGAGAGGTTTGAGCTTAGAAAACATGCATCTTACAGACTATAGTGGAGAGTTATTGTAATTGAATATTGCATTTTGGTGTACTACTTTGATGGCTAGTTACAGCAGCAACGTGTATTAACTTCTCATTTTCAATTGCGAGAGCAAGTGACTTGTAATCGGGAACAAGAACTTTTTTCCTCGTACACAGTTTTCTTACAGTTTTGAAAATTCAAATAAAACTACTTTTTAGTTCATGTGGGGTAGTAATAATTTTTTTTCAAATATAATTATTTTTAAAAGTGTTAATTTTTTTTTTCAGATTTGCGGTTTTCGTCCTAAATTCGATCGGCTGATTTTCAGTTTTTTCTAAAATGCAATTTGTTTTATCTGGTAAGTTAATCAAGCGTTTTTTCTTAAAAACTGAGGTTTTATACTTTTTGATTCAAATGATTTTTACGTATTGAAATTAGCTCTAGTTTGTTCATTTGCCTACTCTGATTTTTACGGTTGCGATTAGCAAGCGTCATCAAAACGGAATGTAGACTTTTTTCGGGTTAATAACTTGTATAACAAAATCAGTTGAGTCACTTATGGGTAACTATTATCTGGGTGGGTACTAAGTTACTATTAACTACTGGTTGGGTGCTGTTACTATAGGTTAATTTCAGGGGGACATAATAAAATTAACAAGTTCATTTTTTTTATTAAACTGGTGTGTGATTGTCGGCCTTGTTTCCTTTCTCGATTTTTTTTTCTCGAAAGCCATTTTAGCGACTTTCAAAAAGGTTATCCATAGAATGATCGCCTACACCCTTGTGTGCCTGCATACTACCTGGTCTCTTTTGACTGTTCGACTTTGTCTACAGCCTTCGAAAAAGTTTATGGGAGAATATTTGACCCATTTTTTTGGTTTTTCAAAAATTAACCTAGCAAATCTGATGTTTTTGTCTCAACGAATGAGCCCGATTTGGAAAGCTTCTCTGCATAAGCGGCTACGTCCAAACTTTTTTACGCAATAATTTATGGCCCTCGCAATTGTGAAATTTTTGATTTTGTTTACCGTTTTTTGGATTTTGTTTACTTTTCTCAAAAACTCAGCTCCCAAACCTGAGATTGTGAGTTCAAAGGAGATAACGGGTATTGAGAAGCTCCCCTGAATTAGCGGCCTCTCACAAATTTTTTTACACAAAAAATTGCCGTCCTCGAAAAGGTTATCCATAGAATGATCGCCTACACCCTTGTGTGCCTGCATACTACCTGGTCTCTTTTGACTGTTCGACTTTGTCTACAGCCTTCGAAAAAGTTTATGGGAGAATATTTGACCCATTTTTTTGGTTCTTTCAAAAACTAACCTAGCAAATCTGATGTTTTTGTCTCAACGAATGAGCCCGATTTGGAAAGCTTCTCTGCATAAGCGGCTACGTCCAAACTTTTTTACGCAATAATTTATGGCCCTCGCAATTGTGAAATTTTTGATTTTGTTTACCGTTTTTGGATTTTTTTACTTTTCTCAAAAACTCAGCTCCCAAACCTGAGATTGTGAGTTCAAAGGAGATAACGGGTATTGAGAAGCTCCCCTGAATTAGCGGCCTCTCACAAACTTTTTTACACAAAAAATTGCCGTCCGCAAAAAGGTTATCCATAGAATGATCGCCTACACCCTTGTGTGCCTGCATACTACCTGGTCTCTTTTGACTGTTCGACTTTGTCTATAGCCTTCGAAAAAGTTTATGGGAGAATATTTGACCCATTTTTTTGGTTCTTTCAAAAACTAACCTAGCAAATCTGATGTTTTTGTCTCAACGAATGAGCCCGATTTGGAAAGCTTCTCTGCATAAGCGGCTACGTCCAAACTTTTTTACGCAATAATTTATGGCCCTCGCAATTGTGAAATTTTTGATTTTGTTTACCGTTTTTTGGATTTTTTTACTTTTCTCAAAAACTCAGCTCCCCAACCTGAGATTGTGAGTTCAAAGGAGATAACGGGTATTGAGAAGCTCCCCTGAATTAGCGGCCTCTCACAAAAAAATTTTTACACAAAAATATGCCGTCCTCGAAAAGGTTATCCATAGAATGATCGCCTACACCCTTGTGTGCCTGCATACTACCTGGTCTCTTTTGACTGTTCGACTTTGTCTACAGCCTTCGAAAAAGTTTATGGGAGAATATTTGACCCATTTTTTGGTTCTTTCAAAAACTAACCTAGCAAATCTGATGTTTTTGTCTCAACGAATGAGCCCGATTTGGAAAGCTTCTCTGCATCAGCGGCTACGTCCAAACTTTTTTACGCATTAATTTATGGCCCTCGCAATTGATGGCCAGTGTTAGTAAATTTACAAAAGGTCGTGGAGCAGATGTGAGAACGTGGTTGGCCTAATCTCACCAAAAAAAAATTCTTCAGGTGTTTTTACACGTGTTATAGTATGAACTCTCTTTTTTCCAACCTAAGTCGCAAATATTGTAGCGACGCTAATATGGCTGCGACAAAAGGTGTCCATTTAGAAGTGCTTATTTTGATGAATAACCAGCTATTAAGTACAGCCAATGCTAAGGATATTAACACAGACTATTATATTACAAATAGCTTATCAAGGTATCATGGATATGTAGTGTAGAGGTATGGAAGGAGACCTGCAACAGAATAAGAGGGTTCGAACCTGGGCAGGGTCGTTTGTTTTCAATGAACTTTTTCGTATACTAGTTAAAATATGTGCGCTCTATAAATTGAGGTTATGTTAGTTGGTAGTTTTTTTCAAATCGACTGGTACTGCGTGTGTCACTTAAGAAATTTTGCAGACTCAAAGTTTTACTCATTCAGTTTTTCCCAGTAGCTTTATCGGTCATTTCTTTGCTTGTGTACTCTCGTATAATCTTATATTGTATAAAAGTTTTTTCATTTAATTTTTCGTATAACGTATACAAAACACTGCTTCAAAGAATTCTTTTATCCATTGCATAATTAAGGATTGTGAGATTAATATGGTCTAAATTGAGCAGTCTTGATCTGTTTAGGAATTGACGAAGGTCAGTTTTTCGACGACATCGTTAGCTTTTGTGAGAAGTCTGCGAATGCAGGAAAGACCGTTATAGTCGCAGCGTTAGACGGGGACTTCCTGCGACATGGATTCAACGACATTCTTAACCTGGTACCGCTAGCCGAAAGTGTCATCAAACTTAACTCAGTGTGCATGTTGTGTTATGGCGACGCTTCTTTTACTAAAAGAATCGGAACAGAAATGACGCTTGAGGTTATAGGAGGCAGCGACAAATATATCGCTGCTTGTAGATCATGTCATTCGAAGCAACTGCTTTCTCCTTTAACGCCTAGTGTAATGATTAATGGAAATCACACGCAGTTAAGAGATTGCGTTTTGTTAAATAAAGCTGAACTTGTCAAAACTTCATCAGAAGATAAGGAGAACATCCGAAAAACCGAATCAAATAATTTGAGCTGAAATTTGTGTTGAAGTCATGTTGTTTGAAGTTTGTGCAGTTATGTTGTTTGAATTTTGCTTATCTAGTGTGTTTCAATGAAATGAGTTTAAATTTTTACTAGCCGTTCTGTTATCACACGAAGTTTTTATTTTTATAGACAATAATTTATATAGACGATAGAGGGCATAATTTTTGTCATTCAGGAAAGGATTTCTATTGCCTTATCAACGCCTTGAGCCAAAATTTTTTTACGCCTTGAGTTTCGGCAAAGAGGTCTCTGACTGCAGTTTTTCAAGCCGCGTTGGGCTTTTTTTCGTGGTTTTGACTATAAATGCAGCAACATTGAAAAATAACGTGTCCCTTAGTCTCATGAGGATTCTGTCGACTAATATTTTTAAACAACATAAAATCGGTCAGGATAACAGGTATTCACAAGTATTAAATGTTTTTTTAAAGTCCGAGTATAAGTTTGAATTTTATATGAGCTTCACGAATCATTAGTGATAGATATACTGCATTTGAGATTCAATTTCTAAACACGAAAATAGAAACTGAATTGTGTTATCTAGTGAAAATTGCTTTGCTTCAACATCTGATTTCACCATTTGGCTTGCAAATTGGTCTGCCAAACTGATTTGATTGTTTAGCAATTGGCTTAAAATATATACTCTAGTTAACCATTTATTTTTAGTTCTTGAGGAATAAATTCAAGGTTGCTTTATGCGAGGAAACCATGCTTGACTTTCGGCGCCACTCAAATCGCTTGAGCACTCAATGACTAGTTTTTTTTGCGAGATTCGAGAGGTTTGAGCTTAGAAAACATGCATCTTACAGACTATAGTGGAGAGTTATTGTAATTGAATATTGCATTTTGGTGTACTACTTTGATGGCTAGTTACAGCAGCAACGTGTATTAACTTCTCATTTTCAATTGCGAGAGCAAGTGACTTGTAATCGGGAACAAGAACTTTTTTCCTCGTACACAGTTTTCTTAGTTTTGAAAATTCAAATAAAACTACTTTTTAGTTCATGTGGGGTAGTAATAATTTTTTTTCAAATATAATTATTTTTAAAAATGTTAATTTTTTTTCAGATTTGCGGTTTTCGTCCTAAATTCGATCGGCTGATTTTCAGTTTTTTCTAAAATGCAATTTGTTTTATCTGGTAAGTTAATCAAGCGTTTTTTCTTCAAAACTGAGGTTTTATACTTTTTGATTCAAATGATTTTTACGTATTGAAATTAGCTCTAGTTTGTTCATTTGCCTACTCTGATTTTTACGGTTGCGATTAGCAAGCGTCATCAAAACGGAATGTAGACTTTTTTCGGGTTAATAACTTGTATCACAAAATCAGTTGAGTCACTTATGGGTAACTATTATCTGGGTGGGTACTAAGTTACTATTAACTACTGGTTGGGTGCTGTTACTATAGGTTAATTTCAGGGGGACATAATAAAATTAACAAGTTCATTTTTTTTTATTAAACTGGTGTGTGATTGTCGGCCTTGTTTCCTTTCTCGATTTTTTTTTCTCGAAAGCCATTTTAGCGACTTTCAAAAAGGTTATCCATAGAATGATCGCCTACACCCTTGTGTGCCTGCATACTACCTGGTCTCTTTTGACTGTTCGACTTTGTCTACAGCCTTCGAAAAAGTTTATGGGAGAATATTTGACCCATTTTTTTGGTTCTTTCAAAAACTAACCTAGCAAATCTGATGTTTTTGTCTCAACGAATGAGCCCGATTTGGAAAGCTTCTCTGCATAAGCGGCTACGTCCAAACTTTTTTACGCAATAATTTATGGCCCTCGCAATTGTGAAATTTTTGATTTTGTTTACCGTTTTTTGGATTTTTTTTACTTTTCTCAAAAACTCAGCTCCCAAACCTGAGATTGTGAGTTCAAAGGAGATAACGGGTATTGAGAAGCTCCCCTGAATTAGCGGCCTCTCACAAATTTTTTTACACAAAAAATTGCCGTCCTCGAAAAGGTTATCCATAGAATGATCGCCTACACCCTTGTGTGCCTGCATACTACCTGGTCTCTTTTGACTGTTCGACTTTGTCTACAGCCTTCGAAAAAGTTTATGGGAGAATATTTGACCCATTTTTTTTGGTTCTTTCAAAAACTAACCTAGCAAATCTGATGTTTTTGTCTCAACGAATGAGCCCGATTTGGAAAGCTTCTCTGCATAAGCGGCTACGTCCAAACTTTTTTACGCAATAATTTATGGCCCTCGCAATTGTGAAATTTTTGATTTTGTTTACCGTTTTTTGGATTTATTTACTTTTCTCAAAAACTCAGCTCCCAAACCTGAGATTGTGAGTTCAAAGGAGATAACGGGTATTGAGAAGCTCCCCTGAATTAGCGGCCTCTCACAAACTTTTTTACACAAAAATTTGCCGTCCTCGGAAAGGTTATCCATAGAATGATCGCCTACACCCTTGTGTGCCTGCATACTACCTGGTCTCTTTTGACTGTTCGACTTTGTCTATAGCCTTCGAAAAAGTTTATGGGAGAATATTTGACCCATTTTTTGGTTCTTTCAAAAACTAACCTAGCAAATCTGATGTTTTTGTCTCAACGAATGAGCCCGATTTGGAAAGCTTCTCTGCATAAGCGGCTACGTCCAAACTTTTTTACGCAATAATTTATGGCCCTCGCAATTGTGAAATTTTTGATTTTGTTTACCGTTTTTTGGATTTTTTTACTTTTCTCAAAAACTCAGCTCCCAAACCTGAGATTGTGAGTTCAAAGGAGATAACGGGTATTGAGAAGCTCCCCTGAATTAGCGGCCTCTCACAAAAAATTTTTTACACAAGAATATGCCGTCCTCGAAAAGGTTATCCATAGAATGATCGCCTACACCCTTGTGTGCCTGCATACTACCTGGTCTCTTTTGACTGTTCGACTTTGTCTACAGCCTTCGAAAAAGTTTATGGGAGAATATTTGACCCATTTTTTGGTTCTTTCAAAAAGTAACCTAGCAAATCTGATGTTTTTGTCTCAACGAATGAGCCCGATTTGGAAAGCTTCTCTGCATAAGCGGCTACGTCCAAACTTTTTTACGCAATAATTTATGGCCCTCGCAATTGTGAAATTTTTGATTTTGTTTACCAATTTTTGGATTTTTTAACTTTTCTCAAAAACTCAGCTCCCAAACCTGAGATTGTGAGTTCAAAGGAGATAACGGGTATTGAGAAGCTCCCCTGAATTAGCGGCCTCTCACAAACTTTTTTACACAAAAAATTACCGTCCTCGAAAAGGTTATCCATAGAATGATCGCCTACACCCTTGTGTGCCTGCATACTACCTGGTCTCTTTTGACTGTTCGACTTTGTCTATAGCCTTCGAAAAAGTTTATGGGAGAATATTTGACCCATTTTTTTGGTTCTTTCAAAAACTAACCTAGCAAATCTGATGTTTTTGTATCAACGAATGAGCCCGATTTGGAAAGCTTCTCTGCATAAGCGGCTACGTCCAAACTTTTTTACGCAATAATTTATGGCCCTCGCAATTGTGAAATTTGTGATTTTGTTTACCGTTTTTTGGGTTTTTTACTTTTCTCAAAAACTCAGCTCCCAAACCTGAGATTGTGAGTTCAAAGGAGATAACGGGTATTGAGAAGCTCCCCTGAATTAGCGGCCTCTCACAAACTTTTTTACACAAAAATATGCCGTCCTCGAAAAGGTTATCCATAGAATGATCGCCTACACCCTTGTGTGCCTGCATACTACCTGGTCTCTTTTGACTGTTCGACTTTGTCTACAGCCTTCGAAAAAGTTTATGGGAGAATATTTGACCCATTTTTTGGTTCTTTCAAAAACTAACCTAGCAAATCTGATGTTTTTGTCTCAACGAATGAGCCCGATTTGGAAAGCTTCTCTGCATAAGCGGCTACGTCCAAACTTTTTTACGCAATAATTTATGGCCCTCGCAATTGTGAAATTTTTGATTTTGTTGACCAATTTTTGGATTTTTTAACTTTTCTCAAAAACTCAGCTCCCAAACCTGAGATTGTGAGTTCAAAGGAGATAACGGGTATTGAGAAGCTCCCCTGAATTAGCGGCCTCTCACAAACTTTTTTACACAAAAAATTACCGTCCTCGAAAAGGTTATCCATAGAATGATCGCCTACACCCTTGTGTGCCTGCATACTACCTGGTCTCTTTTGACTGTTCGACTTTGTCTATAGCCTTCGAAAAAGTTTATGGGAGAATATTTGACCCATTTTTTTGGTTCTTTCAAAAACTAACCTAGCAAATCTGATGTTTTTGTCTCAACGAATAAGCCCGATTTGGAAAGCTTCTCTGCATAAGCGGCTACGTCCAAACTTTTTTACGCAATAATTTATGGCCCTCGCAATTGTGAAATTTTTGATTTTGTTTACCAATTTTTGGATTTTTTAACTTTTCTCAAAAACTCAGCTCCCAAACCTGAGATTGTGAGTTCAAAGGAGATAACGGGTATTGAGAAGCTCCCCTGAATTAGCGGCCTCTCACAAACTTTTTTACACAAAAAATTACCGTCCTCGAAAAGGTTATCCATAGAATGATCGCATACACCCTTGTGTGCCTGCATACTACCTGGTCTCTTTTGACTGTTCGACTTTGTCTACAGCCTTCGAAAAAGTTTATGGGAGAATATTTGACCCATTTTTTTGGTTCTTTCAAAAACTAACCTAGCAAATCTGATGTTTTTGTCTCAACGAATGAGCCCGATTTGGAAAGCTTCTCTGCATAAGCGGCTACGTCCAAACTTTTTTACGCAATAATTTATGGCCCTCGCAATTGTGAAATTTATGATTTTGTTTACCAATTTTTGGATTTTTTAACTTTTCTCAAAAACTCAGCTCCCAAACCTGAGATTGTGAGTTCAAAGGAGATAACGGGTATTGAGAAGCTCCCCTGAATTGGATTTTCAAAATTTTGGTCGACGTTTTTTTTTAGGTCGACCATATTGATTTTCCAGTAAAAAGACCTGTTTTGGCCAAATTTTCTGCGCCACAGGCAAAATTTTGAAAAAATAGGCGTTTTTTGCAATTTTTTAAAACCGCGTTTTTTCGGCGCGCGCTCATTTCTCAAAATTAGTTTGTTAATACTAATACAGGTGAGAAAATTAACCAAATACAGGTGAGAAATTTATGCAAATTACCACACAATATACGTAACGTTCGACAGCGTAAACACTTCGCTTGTTTTCGGTTTGTTTATAATTTGACTGTTTTATTCGAAGTGAAGTGAGTTTTCATCTGAAAAGAGACTGGAATGAGCCCGATTTGGAAAGCTTCTCTGCATAAGCGGCTACGTCCAAACTTTTTTACGCAATAATTTATGGCCCTCGCAATTGTGAAATTTTTGATTTTGTTGACCAATTTTTGGATTTTTTAACTTTTCTCAAAAACTCAGCTCCCAAACCTGAGATTGTGAGTTCAAAGGAGATAACGGGTATTGAGAAGCTCCCCTGAATTAGCGGCCTCTCACAAACTTTTTTACACAAAAAATTACCGTCCTCGAAAAGGTTATCCATAGAATGATCGCCTACACCCTTGTGTGCCTGCATACTACCTGGTCTCTTTTGACTGTTCGACTTTGTCTATAGCCTTCGAAAAAGTTTATGGGAGAATATTTGACCCATTTTTTTGGTTCTTTCAAAAACTAACCTAGCAAATCTGATGTTTTTGTCTCAACGAATAAGCCCGATTTGGAAAGCTTCTCTGCATAAGCGGCTACGTCCAAACTTTTTTACGCAATAATTTATGGCCCTCGCAATTGTGAAATTTTTGATTTTGTTTACCAATTTTTGGATTTTTTAACTTTTCTCAAAAACTCAGCTCCCAAACCTGAGATTGTGAGTTCAAAGGAGATAACGGGTATTGAGAAGCTCCCCTGAATTAGCGGCCTCTCACAAACTTTTTTACACAAAAAATTACCGTCCTCGAAAAGGTTATCCATAGAATGATCGCATACACCCTTGTGTGCCTGCATACTACCTGGTCTCTTTTGACTGTTCGACTTTGTCTACAGCCTTCGAAAAAGTTTATGGGAGAATATTTGACCCATTTTTTTGGTTCTTTCAAAAACTAACCTAGCAAATCTGATGTTTTTGTCTCAACGAATGAGCCCGATTTGGAAAGCTTCTCTGCATAAGCGGCTACGTCCAAACTTTTTTACGCAATAATTTATGGCCCTCGCAATTGTGAAATTTATGATTTTGTTTACCAATTTTTGGATTTTTTAACTTTTCTCAAAAACTCAGCTCCCAAACCTGAGATTGTGAGTTCAAAGGAGATAACGGGTATTGAGAAGCTCCCCTGAATTGGATTTTCAAAATTTTGGTCGACGTTTTTTTTTAGGTCGACCATATTGATTTTCCAGTAAAAAGACCTGTTTTGGCCAAATTTTCTGCGCCACAGGCAAAATTTTGAAAAAATAGGCGTTTTTTGCAATTTTTTAAAACCGCGTTTTTTCGGCGCGCGCTCATTTCTCAAAATTAGTTTGTTAATACTAATACAGGTGAGAAAATTAACCAAATACAGGTGAGAAATTTATGCAAATTACCACACAATATACGTAACGTTCGACAGCGTAAACACTTCGCTTGTTTTCGGTTTGTTTATAATTTGACTGTTTTATTCGAAGTGAAGTGAGTTTTCATCTGAAAAGAGACTGGAAATGAGTCTTCTCTTTGTACGTTGATGTATCTACATGTCTATCTTCTTCCCATACGTAAAATAACTCAGCGGAGTCCACGCTCACTTGTCCCGTCAGTTTGGCCAGTTCGTTCACGTATGTAGTCTGGAAGCGAATGTCGTCATAACAGTTTTTCAGCTCCGCCTCCTGTTTCTGGCTCTGAGTTATTTCGGAGAGCATTTCTTCTTTGGAAGGTACTGAGATGTCGCCTAAACCAAACATAGCGCCAATTCAGCCCAAGTGATGTTCTCAGACTGCTCTTTTGAGTTTTTTATCTGATGGTATTTTTTTTCCGTTGTTGGAACTCGGAAGTTCAAAAGAATCCAGAAAACATTTTTAGGGCGAACTTTAATTGCATTTAGGCTTTTCAATACCTTTCATGTTTAAGAGTAATGAACGTAGTGAAGACTCTTATATAGGTCTTGCTGATTTTTTTTGGTTGTTTTTTTTTCAGGAAAAAGTTTAAAATTATTGATGCAATTTTTGAGTTTAATTGAAGTTCATCTGCTGAAATTGATGTAAATGACACTCTTCAATTACGAACGTAGAAATGGCTCAAAAAATGTGAACGAATTCTAGTTTCGAAAGTGGAATTTATTTTTTAGATTTCCAGCGGTATAAAAACTTTACCTATGAATCCATGATCCAGTTTTCTCAACTTGGATTCATGTTTTATAAAAAGCGCCAACCATAAATTGTTCTAGAAATTCGAAGAGCTTAAAGGGCATCTATTTTTTTCTTTGAAATTCAAAATTTTTTCAAGAAAGTTAAGTGTTTTTTATGTTTACTTGCGTTCATTGATCTTTTTCAATCTTCGATTGGCTATGTTCATCATTTAAATTTTTTCCCCCAATTTACTGAGCTATCTTTGTTTTTACTTGCAGATCTTTTTGATAATTTATCATACTGCATTTTTTTCGGCTTGGTTGCTTAATTTTATAGGAAAGGTTTTGTTCAATAACGAGGATTTTTGTGGAAGGATTTTTAAAGCAAAAGATAGAACATATTTACGTGAGTGGAACGTCACTACAGCTGAATTTTTGATCTACATCGTCCGAAAATGGCTCATAAACTGCTCTTTTGACACGTTTTCTCAAAATTCCACCTGACCTGCAGACGTTTATAGAGAAATAGGACTTTTGTATTGCTAGTAGGTGGGTTAATTTACTTGGTCAATGTCAAACTATATCGACATTCAGCCGCCTGTGGATTGAATAGAGAAAATGGTTTTGTCTTGAGGTGGTGGTTTTCTTTTCAATAGAACACGCAAGTTCAATCCCAGAACAAAACTGAATAATAGATCCAAAAATATGGGATACCGATTGCAAAAGCAATAATAGCACTGTACTTGAGAATAGCAGTCGCGTGTACATGAATCGATCGTTTCAGATATATTTCTTTGAAAATCTTGCGAGCGTTATTTTGATCGCTAGTTTTTTTTCCATCTTTGAAAAGCCTCTTTGTTTTAAACTTTCAAGTTAGACAGATCTAGTGTAAAAGAAGATCACATTAGCCGTTGAAACCAGGAAACTAGTCAACATGAGTTGAGAGGATTTATCGACAAGGAAAAGGACCAGCAACATACAGGCTTGTAGCCTTACGTTCAACATTCGAATCCGCGCTACAGAAGTTGTACATTTATAATATAGAATTTTTGTAATGTGCTTAATTCGTAAACGAAATTATTATTATTATACGAGCTGTTCAGCTCTTCACGGAGAACCGCTGTTGTGCCCTGCTTAAAAAATACTTGCAATTTTTTTGGCTATTTTTCTGGGATGGGAAATTTTGACTCATCCTCAAGCAACGAGCACAGATCAGGGTGGGCCTCCAAAATCCGACCGTATGATTGAGAGGCGGATACGTAACCACATCACCACCGCTCCCCAAACTAACCTTTTATCATACTTGCAACAAAATGGCCTTGTAACCAGAACATAGTAAACGTGTAGTACTGGTCTTGCATGCCAATGTAGAATACTTTCGGGTTCTGCGGAAGCACAATTTGTTTGTACAGAGGAGGAGCCATTCTGTTGTGAGTTTCCAGACGGAGCCGTTCTTCCATAAAAGGAAAGAGATGCAGGTAGCCGGTGCAGTAAACAATGACGTCATAGTCATCTTTAGATCCGTCGATGAAACTAAAAACCATGAAATATTTTCCTCAAATGATAGTTTTTCTCTGGCATACAACAGTTGGTTTTTGTGCGACTGAAAAACTTCGGCCCTAATCCGAACATTTCGGTGGCGCCATCTACCTCACGCGAGGGTAATGCATTTAAATGGCGACTTTCCAGGCTGTGGCGTGACCTTAGCGAATCAAGACCTGTGCTAGCGAGACTCAAAAGCCTTGATCAGACAAAATTTCAATCGCGCGAGTTACTTTGTGAGAGCGTATTATGTTGCGACTTAACTTTTGATGCCGAGTTTCTTTTATATGCTGTTATTTCAATAGCGAACAGAAGCGGTGAAAAGGTCACGAAAATCCGAATGGCTTCTACTTTCAAAAGTGGACTTTATTTTTCGGAAATCCCAGCGGAATAAAAAATTATTTTTGATCCAGTTTTCTATAAATGTATTTGAAATTCAGGCTAATAAAAAAGTAATACTTGCTGTGGGCGCAAGGGAACAGTTAGGTTAAGTAGGTGAAGGGATCGCCTTTGGATGATGTATGAGTTTAACACATTCACAGCACCCCCACCATTATTTGGACAGCACCCAGAAAGTAACCGACTCCACAACTGGGCACTTCATAGATTACAGTATAGACAAGACATCCACGAAGACATTCGTGACCATAACATCCAAATACTCCACCAATAGTCTACAAATAAAATTTGAAATCACGGTTAAACTAAACAACATTGCTCAGCAACCTTACCCATTAAACCCACCAAATATAACAGCTCAATCACTACCACCACCATTCATAACAACTGAAGTAATATATAAATACTACAGATATACCAAAAAGACAATTGGTTACATAACATTTTATAACCCGTACTCAGGTTTATCATATACATGTATATTTTAAAAATATTGATACTCCTTCAACTCCTTTTTCTAATCATCTCCGATCAGAACATAAATCCTTCTCCCCGCACAGGACCCCAAGATTTATTAGTAACAGATTATGATTGTGAAGAAAATGAACAAAAAACACTACACAAATATGCAATAAATCAAGTATCACAATGCGAAACGGAACCACAAGCTATAGAAACTACAAATGTAATAGCGACACTATATTCAAAAGCCCGAGCAACAACAGTCATAGGATATAAATTTACAGCAACATTCTCCGAAAAGAAAGTACATTGTTCACAAGTTTCAAACGGAAATAAAAACCGACTTGACCATGAATCATTCTACCAAAGTAATATAGAACGACTTCTACATCTAAATCCTGATGATTGTAAAAACGAGCTACTCAGACTAAACATCACAAGAAATAAAAACACCGACAGAAAACTAGTATATTTTCAAGTCTTTGCCGATTCTGTACATCAAGCAGAACTTGAAAGATATCAAGGACACATTAAATTAGATGAAAAATACCCATACAACGGCGCACACGGAAGATTAACTTATGACATACACGATAAGCACTGGATACCACACATTGGTATAAATAATCCATCAAACTGCAAAGCAGACACAAAAAATAAAGGATATCAAGAAATAATGTTTTTCGATTGGAAAATACAACTCGAAAAAATACAACTCACACGAGATTTATCTGACAACATAATGATCTATCAAGGAATTAGACTACCTTGTAAAAACGATCAAGGTTATTGTTATCCTACAACACGGACACAAGCAACAATTGTTTGGTTTCCCGAAGATACATGTACAACATTTCAAGTAGCAAAAATACACGCTCGAATGATAAAATTTCACGAAAAATATTTTATACAATCAATTCCATATGAACAAGTCAATCCATCACGAAAACAAAGCACTGATTTTCGAAATATCCATAATATAGAAAATAAATTAACACGTTTTCAAATATATCAAGAAACAGAACTCGCATGCAAATACAGAAACCCACTTCACAAAACACAATATTCTGAAATATTAGTTGAATACGAAAAAGGTTTCGACATGACCACTGGAAAAATAAAAATTGACCCCAATGCCACAAGTCATCCTCTACACGAAGGAACATCATATATACCAGTTAACTTTCAAAAAAGTAATGGTCAACCTGGTGGACATCTAAAGCCACGTGACACTAGAAGCACACGTTTACAAGAACTATCACTAATGAATAATTCTTATTTTGTTAATATCCACTATGATATCCACTTAGATATGAAGTTAGACTACACGATTAGTCGAATTTTGCAAGAGATGTCACTCTCCGAATTAGAAACACTTCACCAACTATGCGAATTAGAAAGGACACAAATACTGCAATCACTTGCACTAGCAGTATTAAAAATACCCTACGCAGGATATTTACTATCAGGAAATAGATCAAATTTTCTAGACTACGAAGGAAACATCTTATGGTTTTATACTTGTGCCAAAAAAGTATCACCACTATGTTTTTGAAGATAAAAGATGCTATAAAAGAATCCCTATCTTTTATAAAAATAAAGTACATTTTGTTGACACACTTTCAAGACGAACATATTTTTGGGATACCGCAGTCCCATGTGGATCAGAGAATAGCCACAATGTAGTACAATTGAACCCTGATGAAGATAAATATTATCTTCTTACCCCATACCCCACATTAATGCAATCACTCAAAAAAATTTCACCCGGAAGCATCAGAGCTATTGCTCGTAACCCAAATATTGATTTACAATCAATTGGAATATATTCAAAATCTGATATCCAACATCACATTAGAACACAACAATTCCAGGAATTATTAACACAAATGGACACTATACAAAGACAATCAATTGACCAAAACTTACGCAAACTTGCCGAAACAGCAGGATTTGCAGATATCTATACACAAGATTATAGCGGATATTTTAAAGACATTAAAGACTATATATATCTAAACGGTGAAAAATACAGACCACAAGATATTTCACCCATAAATATTTTTAGCTTTGTTACACTAAAAAATGAAATTCTCGATTTTCTAGGATGGCCCTATTACATCTTAGAAAAATTAACTATCCTATACGCAATGTTTAACTTTATAGGATTTCTTTTTTCACTTTTAAAAGGAATCTACAACACTTGTGCTATACACACACAAGTAAATAGACAAGCAAGTGTAGCACGCATACTATTTGCAGGATTTTTTGGAATTTTTTCATCATCAATTAACAAAATTCTTCTAGACGCACAAATCAAAGAATATAATACAAAAATAGCAACAACACAGAACACGTACAACGAAGAACATAATAACATAGAAGTAACGCCTACAGCACCACAGCTGCCACCCCTACCACATAACCATCCATTATCCTTAGTCCCACGAAATTTCCGAAACCTAGCAATAACACATAACCCAAATTTTAGACCAAACATATCGCAAAGTCCCATACAACACATAATGACACATCATTCACAAGATGAAAATACATATGAACAAATTATAGAACAACCCCATACCACCGCTTTTCAGTCTCGAAATAATAATTTTTTTAGCCCACGATGAGCCGACAACTTGGATCCCTACACCGCTCAAACTCCCATCCAACCAACCTCAACACTCCAATCACAATAATCCCACTTTTTGCTTTCCCGCCACCCGATTTTCCAACTAGTAATATAACATCAAGCATGAATTCGGATACTAATTCAGATATTTCAGTTTTATACTCCATTTCACAACTCAATAACCCCAATATAGAAACCCCTGACGAATTTGCAGACTCCGAACCATCTCCATCCAATAATTTTCAAACCAACTCCTCAGTTTTTTCAAAGCCCCCTTTTCAACCAATCCCAACAAATAATCCACTCCCGCCCATTTCTACTCCCTCTTATGCTTCCAAAGTAACCCCAACCTATTCTCCATTTCATTCCGACCGATCATCTAATTCTCCCGATACTCCCCAAATTTCCCTAGAACTTGATAACTTTATCACCCTACAACAACAGCTAATACACCCTAACACCCGCACAATCAATCAAATTTCATCCACAATAGAATCCTCAAACCCACCTACTCCTACACCCTCCTCAGCCTATACTGCATCATTAGCACAATCATCAACATCCACCGAATCATCAAATAGCACTAACCGAGCTTATCGCACTTTTAAAAGAAAATTCCCAAACCATCCATTCCCGACCAAACCAGGAACAGCCAGTGAATATATTAATCATCCACACCACACCAACACGAAAGATTTTCTAGCAATCACCTTACCTTCATTTCCACAAGATACTTTAAACACACCTAATGACACTAACGACACACGTAGTTTTGTAGATGAACATGTTTTAATGCCTACACTTCATTGGACAACATATTATCATTTTACTAATCCCCTTTGCCTCCCACTATCTAATACTCATAGCGATATAGAAAAGCATAAAGATATGCTATATAGACTCACCGCAACACTAACACCTAGACAATTTACTTATATAGGATATAAAAAATCACTAAAAACATTCACTGCACCCCGAGCTAAGGAATTTACACTAGAATATTACGACCATAATATCATCCGAACTAATCAAGATCAATTTTTAGATGACGACCGCTTCGCTAACCCACAACTAACAGAAAAATTCTTCATCACAACATCATATGTATTCACACTCAATATTTTTGATAGAAAATGTGATCACATCATTTCTGAAGCACTAACTGATATGCAAGCTTACGAAAGTTTTAAAGAAAAATTTCAATTATTTTCACTAGCCTTTCACTTCCTTGCACCACATGAACGCGATTTGCACTGTTCATATGACATCATGTTACGCACTAAACAAACTCACACATATACATACTATCGCTTCATACAAAATCATTTTGATCTACATACTCCATCAAGACAACCACACCATCGTTTTCAGTTTCTTAACTCGAAGTACACCTCACCATTTTTTCTAAATTTCACCTATTGCATCAAAGATACTAACCTCCACGGCATCCTCCGCAATTATGACCCAATAACACAGATGTATATATTTTGTCCCATCACGAAGACCTTTAATGCTGAAGAATCCAGACCCTTCCTTATCCCACATGAATTTATCCAACCTATAGAAATCCCTATATTAGAATTTATTCATAATACTAAATACAATCACAAAATATATAATCTCATTCAAAACACACTTTATGAGTTTGCAGTTGGCACCGAGGAACTAAAAACTATTAAAGCACTTCAATTGCTTTGGCCACTGCTTCAAACTAAAAACATCATTCGCATACTAGCAAAGTTTTTAACAAATTCCGACATCATACACGACATCTTCCCCCACGGTTTTTTCCCAGACGATTAACAGGTAAGTATAATTTCAAATATACTTTACTAATAAATTTAAATTAATACTAAGCCTTCTTTACTCATGTTTCTTTTAGATCTTTAGTCCTCATACCACGATCATCTACAAAAAACAGAAAAGAAAAATAAAAAATAAAAACTTGTTAAAATTATTCTAAACTTCATTAATATTTTCACAAAATAATCTGATAAAATTGATACAAAATGTAGTAAATTAATTTATAAATTATTCCCCCATAAAGCAGTAAATCTAAATATGATGAAAATTTATAACTTCCCCCAAAAACTAGCAGTAAAATTGAAATTCTATGTAATAAATTAATAAAATAAAAATGCAGTACTAACCTTTGATATTTTCATTCACTCGCACAAGAATTCTATCCAAACTCGCACAGCTCGCCCACGAAGAATTGTTTAAATAATGAATTTCAGTTTCAAGTTTTCACACTCAACAACTCTAACACACGATAACAAGTTCCAAACTTTCCTTTAACCCGGTTGGAAAGGAATTATATACTAAAACAAACTAACCAACGCAGCTTACTAAGCACCACAAATCATAAAATAACAGCATGACTAAGAAAAGAAAACCAACGGTACCCAAACCGAATTAACCCAGTTTAAAACTGGATAATTTATTTTTTTGAAGACTATTATAAAGTCTAAGAAAGAAATAATAAAACACAAAAAAGTCGAAAGACAAACCCATAACAAAAACAATTTGATTTTTGAAAAAAGGACACAACCAAAGGAACATAAGAAAGACCAACATAAACCCAACATAAAACGTTATCACATAACAGGACCTCTCAAAGAAACCGCACGAAATCATACTCCCACTCCTGGCCTAACCCACCAGAGAGGACGTCCTGAGCATGCTCTATAGCCGGCCGAACCCACCGTGCTACATCCACGCTTTGTGACCACACTTCTATTTTTAATAAGAGGTACTCAAGGGTGAGTAACTCTTCAAAATAACCAAACTAAAACAAAATGCTTTTGTGAAAACAACTAACTAAAATCATAATTAAAAAACTGAACTAATAAAAATTTTATACAATGTAAATTATACCTTGCAGTATATAGATCAGCACACAACAACAAAGACGAACATCCAAAGACAAAATGACCCCATTACACTCGAACAAGAATGGCTAACCACAACCGATATGCCGTCCACAATCTTAACTCAAAGGATTTAGAGTACGACTTGACTTCGCAGAAAAGGACTTCATTGAACTAGACCAATGACCACCTCGATGTGCAAGTATACGTACAGATCCGAGTTACAAGGCATCCCCTCCACGCACAATTTCCACGCCATTCCCAGACGAGGTTGAACACAAAACAAGTTCTCTACATAATACAGAAAAACCCGTCATAGCAAACCATTTTGAAATCAGATTGATTTCGTTGGGAAACACAGTCGTTGTCACAAGAAGACACAACGATTAATGCCCCAAACTCCAGCGTCCTGGAACTTCTCTAACATGAGGAACCGGACAAGAATACGATGTTCGCCCAATACCAACGTTCATCATCCATCCTTTGAATTGCAGAAAGATAATTCTAAAAAACTCTGTAAAACCCGGATGGGTGGAACGTGATCCAAACTACTTTTTATGATTGAATAAATTAGATATTTTACCACTGTAAAGTATTTAATATTAACCAATCATGATCCATCTAACTAACAACCCACTTATTTGTAAGTGCTGAAATTACTTGTAATTTCAGCACCAGAGAGATTTGAATTTAACTTAGAAATTAGTTGCCTCTCCAAGAGAACTTCAGCCGCCGCAACAAACCAGTATACCCTAGATCTATTGAGCCTAGCAGAGACTAGTTAAACACCCTGAGACTAGAAAGTATAAGAGTAAGACTAGGATCGGTATTAGACTAAGAAGTTGCACGAATCTATCCGGCCGAAAATAAGATAGCGTGACGAGCAGACGGTGTACCCTATCCGAAATTACTCTATGAGTTAACCACATCGGTCATAACTCAGTAACCAGACCCAAGTTGGGAGAGCTTATAGCGAGTGGTTCAAGAGAGAGATTGTTCTGACGGGTCAATTTTTGGAGTGTGGGTGCAAATAATTTTGGAGAGGCTTTGTTACTTCATTTCTGTGATTGTTTCAAAACAGCTTTAAAATTTGTTAATGTAAAAGCAGAGACTCTGTCTCGGTTATTAAGATCTCCGGAAAAATTTTTGAATAGAGGTATAGTTTGATGCGCAAAAAAAGTTTTTGTGTCTGTATGTGCGTTATGCGGCGAAAGAGGGCAAAAAATTTTTAATAAATTTGAAATTTAAAACATTTCGGCAGGGGCGGATCTAGGATTTTCTCGAGGGGGAGGGCGGATTTTCAAAAAATTTTCCAAAATTTTGACGACCTTTTTTACGGTCGACCAAATTGATTTTTCGAGCTCTCCCAAAGCACTGTTTTGCACCTATTTTGGGCAGTTTTTGAAAAATTTTGACAAAAAATCGCTTTTTTTTGGCGCGCGCTCCCCCTTAAAGTTAGTATATATTGGCGCCTTTAGAAAAATTGTAGGGTCGGTCGGCCAAAAATGGATTTCTGAAAAAGTATCAAAGGGTCGTCAGGGGGTCGAATTCCTGAGGGGGGACGTCAGCCCAGCCCCCCCCCCCCCCCCTAAATCCGCCCTGCATTTCGGCTTGAAGAGTTTCTGCTCAAATTGTTTTGTCTTGGTTAACTTTGTTCCGATACTGATTTTGCATAATAGTGTTTGGGCATGTTTGTTCACAGCTATCTTCATTCATTTTGATGGATGTAGTTGTATTGCAAGTGGTGCAAAGCTCAGCTTCGCCTCTGTGTCTAAACTTTTTCATAAATGCAACACATTGATTGATTTTATACTGAAATATATTTCTATTATTTGCTCTTTCAGTCGCAAATGTGCGTTGTTCTCTGCTTTCTTTTTTGTTTAATATCAACAGTTCAAAATATACCTTGCTGAAGCGAAATAATCAGACCGATTCATACCTGACTGTGTTGCCTTCGATTCTCTCCAGCAGCTGCCTCTGGTCGATTCCCTCTGGCCACGTGGCCTGCATGGGTTTAGTCCTGTAGGAGATGGTCACGTGAGCAGCCCCTGCTCTGAGCGTCTGGAAGGCGATATCCTCCGCCGAATAAGATGCACCCACTACCAGAATTCTTTTCCCTGTGATTTTTTAAGTTTGTTTTCTGGGAAATGTGGTGCAAATATTGATGGAAAAGCAGATAAATAGTCTGTTTAAAATGACTGTTCAAGTTGATTTTCAAGTTTGTTCAAGTTGGTTTTCAAGATCTCCCGAATCACTAAAAAGCCCTTTTAAGCACGCAATATTCTGCCAGCAAGACAGCTTCGAAAAGTGCCGAAATGCGAGGTTTTTTATTTTAGCATCTAGTCCCCTCTGAAAATTTGTACTGGTTGGCTCAAAAGACGCCTTAAGAAAATGTTGAGCTATGGCCAGTCAAAATGGTTGTTGCAAATCAGTGCTAAACAGGAATTTTTGGTGGTAAGGTTGACGGAAGTACTGAGGAAAGAGAAAATTGGCTCACCTTTATAGCGTTCCCCGTCTATAAAGTGCTTCGAGTGCAACACCTGTCCCTTGAATGTCTCTTGACCCGGGTATGAAACGTAGTTTGGGTAGTTGAAATGACCAGTTGCTACAATAACGAAGTCAAAAGGTTCCTCGATTCGGCTTTCAGAGGTGTCCAAGTCTTTCACCCTAACTATGAAATGTTCCGTTTCGTCCTCAAATTTGACGTCCTCGACCCAAGTTTTAAATTTTACAAACTTCATGAGTCCGAATTTCTCAGCGTAGCTCTCGAGGTACTTGTACATGTATGGTCGGTCTGGAAAGCAAGGGTATCCAGTAAGTTCTGGGTCGTCCAGCGGGAACAGGTGATCGGGTAGTTCCACTGATTCCTTTGGGCCATTTGTGATGAGGTTATGATACATGCCGGAGTGAACCTCTAAGCCATCTTCTTCCACGCCTTCTTTTCCCCTGAAATAATTCAGATTTCGGAACAACTTCAACTTCTCATTTCGGAACAAGTCGAGTATGTGATTAGTTATATTTGATGTTTTATGTGCTAAGATTTAAGATTTGAGAGAGGTTCAAGTGCTTATATGTACACTGTTTTACATACTTTTTTTCTAACCAAAATTAATTAATTGAAATGCAAAAATTGAAATAATTGAGTAAATGGATGGTTTTGAATTAATTTACGTTGGCCCGATAGAATCATCTGGAAACACTTGCAGAAAAAAAATTGAAGAAATTGCTGCTTTGACACTAATCCTTAGCTCAGGAAGTGGATACTAAATTTATTACTGATCAAATAACCCAAAAAAATGGACATTCAATGTTTCGCCCTACTGGAAATTCCAAATGCCTCCGATTTTGTCGTATCTCTCAAAACACACCACTTCGTAATCTGTTTCTGTATCAAGTTTCTGCAGTGCGTGTAGAGTTGTCAATCCAGAAGGTCCGGCTCCGATCACGCACACTCGTTTTCTCGGCATTACTTAATGATGCCACAAATTTGTAGTCGATTTCACTAGAATGTTTGTTTGTTTTTCAAAAACACGTCTTGAGTTTGTTGATCTGTTAATTTGATAGTATGAAAGAATGAAAGAGTTGGTTTGTTCACTTAGCTTCAATGCTGAATAAAGTTCGTTGAAATTGGCGTTGAATTTAACTCGTTGAATCTGGCGATCATTTTATGTACTTGTTTTTGAACGAGTATGTTTAAATACTGTTTGTACCTGCGATTATATTCGATAAGATTTATCAAAACAGAATCACGCAGCTCTGTATTCTAGCTATTAATAATTTGAAACAAGGATAGCCGGTTACTGTGCAAGTAGCACATAATCTTCCGACCGTAGTCTTAAGAAAAACACAAATTTTTTCTTTCAAAATAGTGTCGTTTTTCTGCGTGGTGTGATAAAAAGAATGATCAAAAAACTTTAATAGTGAAAAAGGCAAACTGGACAACAGTTTTTGATGAAAAATGACTGGAAAAACAAAAACATCTTTTAAAAAAATGTTTTAAAAATTCAAAGAAAATTTTAGTTTTTTTTGCAGAATGAAATTTTTTGATTCTCAAAAGGGCGTCAATAAAACTCCAAACACTAATTGTACTCGAGTAAAGCCAAACTAAAGAATAGCTAAGCTTTTGTAGACGGTCCTAATTAAGCTTAAATAAGCATGCTCGCTCGCCGTAATTGCTTGAAATTAGACGAAAAATCAAAATTTTTAAACCGGTTGTTTCGATGCTAGAAAAAATTTTTGAATCACGACTGAAAGGTTTTTAATATGATATATCACTCGACCCGATGACTAATTAAAATACCTCTTTTTGCTTGGAAAACAAAGAAAAACTAAATCACACCCGAATACAAAGTTCCTCCACATTTTTCAAATGGTTGGAAAAACAATTATGGTAAGTAACCAGAAGGTCCACGCAGAACATCTGGGGCTGCTTAAAGCACTAGTTTATTGAGGTAAGCTCTATGAGAGAAGTTCTATGATAAATGATTGAGGGTGGAAAATAACCAAAGCATTTCACTTGTAGATCTCATTTATACAAGGGAAGCTCAGCTATACACAACGAAATAACATTTTCTGTTCAAATACCCTTGCGGTTAGCGAGAGTATTTATGAGTACATTTTTTCAATATATACCAGGAATTGTTTCCTGCAAGAAACTTCACATAATTTGCTTAGTTTTTTTTAAATGGCCATTTAATGGCGGGATGTGGTGGCTCATTAGCACCCTCCAGAAGCTGGATCTTTTCTTTGGTTGACATGTCCGGTCAATTCAAGCGGTAGCAACCGACTATCGGCGGAGACAGGGCGGTGCTGCTCCCCGAGGTCAGTGAAGAAAGGTCGAGGTCACAGATTGAAGCAAGTGACGCCAGCAGAGGAGGAAGCTCATCATCTGTAAAATAACCAAAGCATTTCACTTGTAGATCTTATTTATACAAGGGAAGCTCAGCTATATACAACGAAATAACATTTTCTGTTCAAATACCCTTGCGGTTAGCGAGGGTATTTATGAGTACATTTTTTCAATATATATCAGGAATTGTTTCCTGCAAGAAACTTCACATAATTTGCTTAGTTTTTTTTAAATGGCCATTTAATGGCGGGATGTGGTGGCTCATTAGCACCCTCCAGAAGCTGGATCTTTTCTTTGGTTGATATGTCCGGTCCATTCAAGGGGTAGCAACCGACTATCGGCGGAGACAGGGCGGTGCTGCTCCCCGAGGTCAGTGAAGAAAGGTAGAGGTCACAGATTGAAGCAAGGGGCGCCAGCAGAGGAGGAAACTTAGTGTGTATAAACAATTGTTTTTGATCCGATTGAAGAAAGTGACGGAATGTGCACCCTATTTTTTTCCTTATGCTTCGACACAATGTCGTTTAAGACCATGGCATTTCACACTTAAATAATTTCACTACATGGCAGTTAAAATCCCTTTTGTATTATTTGACCTCGAATCCTCAAATTAGTAAGTACTTAATCCTTCCTAGTTACTGGCATATCGGACTTTTATATCTAAAAGTTATGTCAGAACACCCAAAATAAAGGCTCCTTACTCATTATTAGAGCTTACCAAAGTCGGAATAACTTTTTAAAATGTTATGAAAACTGCTATGAAAAACCATTATAAGCCTATGTTTGTTAATGTAATGATTTTTGAATGTTTATTTGACTATTCACAATAGTTTCACATCAAAATCATCATAAGACAGTGCTAGCTTACCGATATTTTCCATTGGGAAACAAGAACTATGAATGATTCCACTTTCATTTCAAAATTTTATTTTAATTATGATATATCACTCGACACATTCCGATGACTAATTAAAATACCTCTATTTGCATGGAAAACAAAGAAACAAAACTAAATCTTACCGAATACAAAGTTCCTTCACATTTTTCAAATGGTGGGAACAACAATTATGGCAAGTAAAGTAACCAAAAGGTCCACCAAGAGCATCTGGGGCTGCTTAAAATACTGGTTGATTGGGGTACACCATGATCTATGATCATTGGTGGAGGGTGAAGCTTGTAGTACTTATACAAGGGAAGATCAGCTATAAACAACGAAATAACTTTTCTGTTCATTTACCCTTGGGTATTGTTATGGGTATTGCAAAGGTATTGGTATTTGTAGAATTTATCAATATATTCACCAGAAACTTATTCATGTAAAAAAAACTTCACATAATTTGCTAAGTTTTTTCTTTAGTTGGTCATTTAATGGTGAGAAATGGTGGCTCATTACCACCCTCCAGAAGCTGGATATTTTCGTTGATTGGCATCTCAGATCCATTCAAGTGGTAGTGACCGACTATCGGCGAAGACAAGGCGGTGCTGCTCCCCGAGGACAGTGAAGAAAGGTAGAGGTCACAGATTGAAGCAAGGGGCGCCAGCAGAGGAGGAAGCACATCGTCTGGAACCCTGCTAAAAGGTACACGTCCTGGCTCGAGTTTGGCTTCAGATGGTTATAGTTCAGCAGGCAGACTGAAAAAATGGTGGAGAGCGCACTTCTTCTCTGTAGGAAATTCAGGTTCCGGAGAGAGAGTTTTTGATTTCTTCTGGAAGAATGAGCACATCTTTTGAGTTTTGGAAATGAAGCTGTTTTTTGATGATCATCTGGACATTCCGGGACCAGTAATAAGAGTTTTTAATCAGGTGCGGGCTTGAGTGGGAGGAAGGGGGCGGACGCCCCCTCCCCCTCCTTAGGGAGTGGACCCCTTTACTATTTTGAGGTATCCATTGTTGGTTGACGAACCCTAAAGCTTTTCTAATTCAATAATTTTGAGGGGGAAACGCGCGCCAAAAACCCATTTTTTTGGTCAAACGCATACAAAACTTGCCTGAAAACGACTTTTTGGCCTGTTTTTTTTTCTTCAAAATATTAGCCACAACTGGGTAAAAAGTTTGGCCAAAACGGTTTTTTAAGTGCTCTGGGAGAACTCGGAAATCAGTTGAGTCGACCTAAAAAAAAGATCGACGAACTTTTTGAATTTGTTTTTAAATATGCCCCCCCCCCTCGAGAACATCCTAGATCCGCCACCTAGTTTGAATGACAGTTTGGAGTATTGTAGGGTTGTGATTGAAGTGGTTTTTGTCGAGATTGAGGTAGTTTTTATGCCAAAGTTTCACTGATTTTATCAGACTCTTTAATTGCAAAGGTTTCATCAGACTCTTCAATTACAGCTGCTAATTGTTATGGTGTGAAGGTGTAAACATTTTACCCATCTATTTGAGGTGTGAAAATGTGTTCAAAATTTGAGGCTTCAAATTGAGAAATTGAGGTGTAAATTGGAGTTTTGAAACATAGTGCTTTTCAAGTTGCCCACTTGACAGTTACTCGTCAGCTATCCGTAAAAAACATGCTTCATAATTGCACATTTAGTAATCTTTGATGTGGTGTCGACGGCGCCTTTGGAAAAAAATGAACTTTTTTTCATAAAATGTATAAAGTAAAAATGTACCCAGAGGAGCGAGTCTTTGGTAAAAAAAAGAATAGTATAGTACTCAAACATTGATGGGGGCTCGGTCGCCCCCTCGCCATTTTACTGCGTAATTCCCACGGGAAACAGTGATGTGTATCAACTTGCTTTATTAGAAATTCAAGTTTTTTTGATTATTTCACCCATTGCCGCTGAGGTAGCGGTCATGCTTGAGACAAGAAGGGCCTCGGGCTCGCTCCAGGGCGGGACCGGACCTGTACTTTTCGCTAAACAGAAATGAGGGACCTTTTTTGCAGCGCCTGTACTTTTTGCGAAATAAAAGTTTTCTGCTTCCCAACATCCAATGGATCAGATAATTTGAAATCCAAAGTTTTGTATTTTTTCTATTTCATTTTTTTTTTCGTTTTTTAGGTCGGCTTAAATACTTTCGGTCAATGTTAAAACTGTTTTTTTTATCACGAGGCCAAACCGTGCACTGGATAAGCGCACAATTTTGTGTCTGTATGTTACTGAATTCCAGAGACAAATCTTTAAACATGTTCCAAAAAGTAATTGGATTCCACTTACAAAAACTTCGTGGATTCCGCGTACAAATAGCTGTAACGTAAATTTTGTCAGCACATTTGTTTTGTTGCGGATTCCGCAACGAGAAAATATAGCTAGTTGTTCTGGATTCCGTAACTGTAAGTGGATTCCGGAAAATTTAAGTGGAATCCGCAAAATATAAGTGGAATCCGCAAACAAAATGCGGATTCCACTTATAATTTGCGGATTCCACTTACAATTTGCGGATTCCACTTATAATTTGCGGATTCCGCTCAAAGTTGCGGACTCCGCAACATCTCAATCTAACTATACCTATGTCTTATAATTTGTTTGGTGTCCTACAATTTAATGACATACAATTTAACACCGTACTTTTTAACACTTAGTCATTTCACTACTAAATCTAATGCTGTATGAATTCTTTATCTTAACTCTTATCACACCAAAGTTAATCCTGCAATTAACACACGCACCATAATGAAAAACTTGGTTTATCTTAGTTATACATGCTACAAGGAGGCTTCCTAATTTACTTAAGACTCTTATCTACAAGTTCGTAATTTATTTTCAATTCGACTTTTCGCTAAACCATTATGATTACCAAAAAAGCGGCTTGTGCTAATTCAAAACAATTTGACGTAAAAATTTTGACAAAAATTAAATTCTGACAGTCACTTTATACTTTACTCAAGTGATAA